GGGAATCTAAACGAGTGGGTTCCCTTATTTATCCCATACTATCAGTCTATTACTTGGACAAAAGCTTCTCTTTGTTCCAATTAATTCCTGCTAATGCTGAAGGGACTTCAAACCTTTGTCCTTCACACACCTGTTTGCTTCTCTCCTTATTTAAAAAACACACGGGGAGAGTGCTCAATGGCCTGATGCCTCTGCTGCAGATTGCTCTTATCAGAGAATACTCCCATTAAACACAGGACAATTCCTTCTTGGCTCAGGTGAACTTCTGGCTACCGACACTCTATGAGGCCCCTGAGTTATTATTTTCATGCCTCTAAAAAAGTACCCTCACCAAACGAAAATTTAGCAGGAAATCTTTCCTGCTAAAACAGTCACACCCAGGGAAGTTGCGGCTGCCCCATCCCTGGAAGGGTTCAAGTCCAGGTTGGATGGGGCTTGGAGCAACCTGGTCTAGTGGAAGGTGTCCCTGCCCACGTTAGGGGGTAGAACTGGATGACCTTTAAGGTCCCTTCCAACCCAAACCATTCCATGGTTCTGTGACTTATTTTCCGTAGAAATTCTCACTTCTCAAGTAAGTTGTCAACAATAAAAACCGACCAGGTTTCTAAAGCACCTGTGTGTGCCCCTCTGTAATTTTTACTATGAAAACACATATTTAAAAAAAATCATAACTAATCCTCCCGACATGGATGCTTAGAAGCCCTTGGTTAAGCTACCTTAGGCCAGAGGCATTTTAATCACGATCTTTAAAACATTTAGAAGTGTTTGAAAGATAATACAGGAATCTGGTTCTGTTTTGCAGGTTATGTACTGCATGATTTCAACAAGTTTCCTCTCGAGTGGCAGCAACAGCCAAATTACGACTACTTTAAGCGAGAATTGCACATTTCAGCAGGCAGAGCTGAGTGCTCGAAGCTGTTCAGCCTGTTGCACAGAGAAGCCTGAAAAAGCACCGTGTGTCTTGTACTGAGTGTGACACAGTGAAATTATCTGTGACATGGTCTCAGTCACAGCAGCCAATGCCCTGAGAAGTGCCGTGGGCTCACAGGGATGAGGGTAGGGCACGGCAGCGGCGCTGCGGGCAGGGAACAACGTCCAGGCTGGGGACCCTCGGGACAGAGGGGACATAAAGTTTAGATTTTTTACTCCTCGGTGACAGGAGGGGCTTTCTCCGAGCTGCCCCCGCTCGGAGCCTCAGTGAGCTTAATCCAAACCCGCAGAGGTGTCGGACACCCGTGTAGGGGACACGCTGAGCCCCGCAGGCGGCTCCTGAGCCGGCCCGTGGAACCTACCGATGTTTTATAACCCAAATCAGCGGGAGCGCGCTCGGGGCAGGAGCCGGGAGCGCGCCCCGTCCTCCCGTCAGCGCGGGGACCGGGACCCCCGCGCGCGGGCACCGCCCCGAGCCGGTGCAGACCCCCGGGCGGGACACACCCCCTTGAGGCAAAGCGCCGCGAGGGGCCGGGGCCGCGGGTGCCCCCCGGCAGCCACAGCCCCGGCGGTGCCCGCGTCCCCCCCGCGCCCCCGGCCCGGCCCTGACCCACTAACACACCTCCGGCCAACATGGCCGCCCCGCCGCCCAGCGCCCGGCGCACCCTACCCCTGCCCGCTGCCGCCCCGCCCCCCGCGCCCGCTAATTGGCCCGCGCCCCCGCCGCGCGCGCCCCCATTGGCCGGCACGCCCGCCGCTCACCCGCCCAGCGGCCCTTTCAAGCTTGGGTGAGGCGACATGTAAACAAACCCCCTCCCGCCGCGGCCCCGCGACCCCCGCGCCCCCCCCGGCCCCACGGGCCCCTCTGGCCGCCCCCGGACCCCGCGGAGCAGGGACGGCAACGAGGGGCCCCCGTGTCTAATGTGGAGCGTCTCCCACCCAGCGACCCCCGCCAGGGCTGCGGGCGGCCGGGGCGACCCCGGGGGAAGCCCCTTCGCGGGGCTCCCGCTCGCTAGCGAAACCTCCGTCCCCCCCGCGCTGTCGTTACATAAACGCCGCGCCGGAGCGGGGATGGTCCCTCCCGCCGCCCTGCCCCGCACTCGCAGAGCGGGGACCCCTCTCCGCCCGCTCTGCCCCGCAGCCTTCGCTCCGGAGCGGAGCCGCCCGCCGGGCACCGGTGCGCCCGGGCACAGAGAGCCCGCACTCCGCGGGTCACCCCCGACCCGCTCGGACACTCAAACAGGTCGCAATACAGAGGAGGCGAATACAAGCCCGAAAGGCAGCAGAGCGCAGGGACTGCCGAGCCCTTCTGCCTCCCCGGGCAGCCAAACACACCCAGTGCTCCCCTGGCAGGACGGCGCTTTGCTCTGCGGGCGAGACTCGCTTTCCTTGTAAAGGCACGGGCTGTTCCTGCCGGGCGGAGACTGGAGGGGACAGCGCCGACAACCCCTCGCTCGGCCCGCGCTCCGTCCCCGCAGCCCCCTCCCACCGCGTCCCCCCGGCCGCAAATCTCTCCGCTCCGGGACTGGACACCCCCCGCGTACAGCTGCTCCCCCGGCGGCCACACCCCCCGCGGGGCGAGCGGGGCGGAGGGGCCGCCCGCACCATCCCCGTCCCAGTGCCCCGGGCAGGCACAGCCCTCCCTCCATTCTATTCCCTCTCTCGCTTCCCGGAGCCCCCTGCCCGGCCACACCGCCTCCTCCCGCCGGACGCCCTGGAGCCCCCGAACCCCCGGTCTCCCCGTCCCTCGGGCCCCTCCGGTAACCCCCAAGCCCCCACTCACCGCGCTCAGCGGGGGCCGCCGCCCCGCACGCCCCGGCCCGGCCCCTCCATGCGGCCCCGGGTTTGTTTGTTTATGTCCCTTCCTGACGGGTTCCCGGAAATCGCGTGACTCGCCCCTCACGTGGCCCGAGGGGGCGGGCACGCGCGGGGGGCGGGGGGAAGGCGGCCGCGCCAGCCAATCGTCGCCGGCCGCCCCGTCACGTGACAGCAGCGGGGAGCGCGGAGGGTATTTAAGGCGGGGTGGCGGGTGCCCGCGGGCAGAGGGTGGTGCGGCCGCTGCTCCTGGGGCTGTGCTGGGCTCCTGCCCCGACATCCAGTCCCCCGATCCTGCCCCCCTGGAGCCCTGGTCACGTACTTACCCCCTTCATCCATCCACCCATTTTGTATCTGCAGTTCAGTACTTTTCCTGCTGTCTCCAGCTACCCACACAACCACCTTTCACAGTGACAGGTGGCTGGCCTGGACTGCTTAAGACACAACTGGAGAAATCACTGCTAATAAAAACGATAAAAAAAAGACCCAACCGTTCTTACCTTGCCATTTGTAAAGAATATTTCTTCTATTGTTTAGACAACTTTTGCATTTCACCACATTGCTTTTTTTTTTCCCCCAGAGACTCCATAGCATTTAATTCTGGAAACAAGGGACCAGCCACCCACCTCTGACAACTGACTCAGCCCTGCACAGGAGTAAAACGCTTCCATGATTTACAGTACAGGAAAAGTAAACTTCAAGAAACTCTCCAGAACAATATCTTGTGCAGGACACAGATGCAGATATTTGCATTTCTTAAACAATATGAACAAAAGCAGTTACAAGCATTTGTAAGCTGACCTGAACCGTCACTCTACACACTGCCAGTGTTTATGACTTAAAAGTCTTCAAGACTTTGAAGCCAGTTTCCCTAATCTTACTTATTTTTTACCTTCCCCCTAAAATACCCGTTTCACTGCAAACACAGGTTTCCTATTACAAGCAACACAAGCTTCCTTGAACATTTTGTGTTCTCATGTTTTCGCAAAACCAAGAGGGAACTGTTAAAGGCTCTGGTACCTGCATTGTTTGTTAAAACACCCTGAATTTGCTCTAATTTCCTGCAGTCATGCAAAAAGAAAAGGAATTATCCAAAGCACTGTTAGTTCCTGGCACACATGGACACCACTCACAACCACGATGCAGACAGTAGGTCACACAATATTCAGTAGAACAGAGACAAAACAGTGTTTTTTCAGCTTCTTCAGTCATGCCACTACCTGACATCTGCTTCAGAGGAAATATTAATCACTCTGAAAAAGGGGAATTTCTTTCTGGGAAGCATCTAAGTGAAAACTACTCTATTGCTTCTTTGTCCAGGCTTGGAATAGCTCTTTCCATTAAATTCACCAACAGTGAGACACACCATGGGAATTCTGTTTTAGTTCTCTCTTCTACAGCAAGTGATAGCTTAGAACCTAAAATAGAAAGGCTGTTCAAGAAAGTGGTAATACAATACACTAACAGCACTGTTTGTCACGGAGTGTTTTCTTTTTGGATATCTCACTTTAGGGTAAATATGACAAGCGGATCAATGTATTTTTAAATCTGTTGCACATTCAGATTTGTCAATGATGTCCTGAAGTATTTTCCCTCCCCCCCTCACACAATGTCAACATGTCTTATTCTTCACACACTTAAAAATCCAAACAACCACTTAATGTTTTCTAAGATCATTTGGTTTCAATTTTCTTAGGAGCTATTTGCTACAGACTGTAGAACATGATGGTGTACAATGTCTTGCATGGTAAAACACAGCTTCTCTGTAGAAGGTAACGTAGCAAAAAAAATCCACTATTCCAGTCCCAACAGTTGCTATGTTTATTTGTAATAATGGGCACATTCTTCCTTCTTTTGCAATTCACACTGTCCAGTTTTTGATCACTGCAAGTTACTTGTCAGGATCTTGGAATTTCCTGCATAGTAATGAGCACTATCCCACGGAACAAGTTAATGGTGCTATCCAAGAGGAAAAAGGAAAAGAAAAAGAACCACTCCATTATGTCCTTGAGCATAACAATGAAACACAGCAGAGAATAACTGCAATTTATCTGGACATGATGGAAGCAGGTAAGAAAGAATTCCTAAAGGCTCTTGTGCATGCAACAGCTTTTATATCCTTTGAAGTTACTCCTTGGCAAACGACTTACTAGATTCATTCCCATCCTATCATCAAAGTTTCCTCAGCTCAACTCCAGCTACTGATTAAGCCCACAGAAAGGCACATTGTAACAGTTAAACATGGCACAAGAACATTTTGTATAAAGCAGAGGATTACTTTTATTTCCAGGCGTGAGAAATTTAAGAGCAAATTTCTCAGGAATACAACTCATTTAAAAAAAAAAAAAAAGCCATCAGCTTGTGGCACCACTGTTTTTCCTCTCCTCATACAGTTTATTGCACACATTTTTGTCAAGTGCAAACAGAACAGGGGTGAACAGCACAATGACAGACAATCTAAGACCTGCAAGATACATGAAGTGTTCCTAAAGAGTGAGGAAAATGAATAGGAAATGACTTTATGACCCGTAAAAACTTTAGAAATTTTCACCACGTCTGGAGTTAACAGTCAAAAATCGCCAGTACCAAAGAGGAGTATAAATTGCATTAGGCACACTGTTAAATGGTAAGGCAGGAAAAATACAGGGCTTTGAACAAGCCCCTTAAAGCACAATAGAAAGGTTAAGGCATTACTGCAGGCTTGGTATCCAACCAGTTACGTAAAGGGCATCTTTGGGTCAGTGGAGTTTTTCATCTGGAGGAAATCTCTTCTTTACCTGCAAAGCAAGAGGCAACTTCATTATTCCTTTCCATGGAGACAATTTACTAACTGAAGACCTGGTTGTTAACCACACCTATTTCCATTCCTCAAATGCACTGAGAAATGGTCAAGAACTGCAGATAATTCATCTACGTGGATGTTTTCTTGGCAGTTTCATTTCTGGGGCTACTGCAAGTAGTTTTAGTTACATTACGAGCTGGTAGAACAACTATTTCCCCAGAATGTTTTCTTTGCTGTAACAGCATCCAGTGATCTGGATGACAGCCCTTCTTGCACTTTCATGAAGACAGCTCCTGGTCTGAGAACACAGATTATGAATTGACCGAGTCAAGGAGAACAGGCAGCATTGGACCACATTCTTTGGAAGAGAGCACAGCCCATATTCACCATGGATACAGAGCTTTGTGTGCTCTTACATGCTGCCATCCAAGCCCTTAACTTGGGGATACATGAAATGATGCTGTGTAATCATCCCTTGGATTGGAGGGAGATTGACTGAAAATACAGACCAAACCTGTGTAATTTGGCATGGATCAATCAGGTCAGCATATGTAGAGCTCCCCTCTAGAATGTGAGGAGCTCACCAGAGCATTTTTAATTTACTCAGTTGGTAAAATAAAATGGGTTTGCTTAGATCACCTCTGGTTTTAAATAAGATCTCTCCACTTTGGGACTTAGTACTTCATTCTCTTTGCATTATCCATACTAATCCATCCAAACCTCAAGTGAAAGAAACAGAAGGCAGAAAAAAATATAGTACTTTAACGCTGGAAAAGCACATCTTAGAAGCCAGAATTAACTGGTTGCTGTATTTATGGGAATCTGTGCAGTGTTAGAGGGATATATTCCAACTCTTATCAGATGGAATCTAATTCACAGCTCCTGTCTAGTCAAAGTCCACAGGAGGCTCCGAGCGCACACAAGAGCGAGGAAAAGAGACGGAGCACCTCCCTCAACACTATGGGAGGAATTCAAACAAGACCATGGAGAGTGGTGTGTCCTGTGACAGCACATTTCAAGCAAAAAAGAACAGATATTCGAGATTATTATATACTTTTACTTTTTTAAACCATTCTTTTTCACAGAAACAAGAACCTTATACCAAAATTAAGCCAAGGAAATCAGATGCACCAAAGGTTAAAACAAACTATGTCATGTAACACGACAGCATGTGCTATGCAGGTCTCATATTTCATTTTAAAGTTTAAAAATGGCAGTTCCTCACAAACTCTTTGGCCATGTTTGAACATATTACTTCCCTCTCTTCCTTGGTACTAATTTAACTTCAGTTCTCTGGGAAATCCTGGAGGGGGAATGACCTGATTCTTTTAGCAGGCATTTAAAGAGTTGTATCTCACCTCCAGGCTGTACTTGCTGGTTTCAACACACCATGAAGCCAAATTTTTATTTCCGAGGCATCCGCTTGTCCAGATAACCACATTTCAAGATCCCAGGCAAACTGAATCATCCTATGGGATTCAGGGATCTGTATGCCCATTACCAAAATACGCTGTTCTCTGTTTTAGCTCACTAATTATATGTTAACACCCGAACAGTGAAATTGCTCCTAGGAAATTCTGCTTGACTGACTTAGCTAATTACAGGCCTCGACTTGAAGCAGGGCCAACTCTACCTTTAGATTCTGCTTGGTGCTTAAAAGAAGCTACAGACACATTCACGTGCCCCCAGTCTGACAACAACACGGTTCCCACGAAGCTTTCTTTGAAACAGAGGAGCTTTCCTTCAGCGTAAATGTCCAGGACACTTCACAGACAGCATTTAACTGAGCTATAACATCAGCTCTCACTGTCTGCTGTACTGATTTCTGGGAACAGAAGCAACACCAGCAAGGGAGTAGGGGTAGGCAGTTGAACTTGAAAAGACAAAAACCCCCAACAACCCAGGTAAAAAACTTAGTGTGTCTGATTATTCAGTTACCAGCATACAAACTGAAACCATGTGTGCTTGTTTCCACATTTCCTTCATTTGAAACTTCAACTCCGAATGCTGCCATTCTGGAGAAACCCAACAGCATCAAGGTACTTTCAGAATAACACTTTATTTTTGCTGGCCCTGTCAGAAAGCCCAGGAACTGCAGCAACCACATTCCAGCAGCACAGCCCAGATATCAACCACCAGGCTCACCTGGGATTAAAGTTGCGCACAGGCTGTCATTAAAAACATAATAAGCCATCCAGCTGTGAGCTCAGGGTTAGAGCTATATATTGACAGGAGATAAAGAACACTCTAATCACTGTTCTTGCTCTGACTTCCCAGATGAATGAGGGCAACTGTAGGTTGCCTTGGAAATCAGGACAGGTCTTAGATGAAATGGTAGTAGGCTTGAGGAGAGGTTTAACAATTGTTCAAGATTAGGAAATCCACTTATGCTAGCTATTAAAAAACACCCCAGCCCAATTTTTTTTTTAATGTTTTTAGATGAAATGTTTTGTTCTCCTTACAAACCCCTGAACACAGCACTACATGACAGGATAGAACGAAAAATAACTGTCAAGAATTCAGTCCAAGCTTTTCACGTATCCAGTCAAGATTACCACCCAAAACACGTTTTGTTGCAGCCTACAGAGGGACAGATTTCTCCTGCAAAAGAGCTACAGCAGTTCTGACCACACTGCTTAGACCACCATTCAATTTCTCCTGAAGCTTTAACATACCAAATATATTAATAAATCTGATCATACTCACCTAGTCAATAAATTGCAGCAGAGGACAGACATCCTTAAGGCCAGTGATATTTAAGATACCAGATTGTTTCATTGCTTAACTGCGGCCCAAAGAGGGGGTTGAGTTGAGCCAGAATTGCAATCAGCCAACTGCAAGACAACCCCCCAACCCAACAAAGAGAACATCAGCCAAATTACAAACCTTATGATAATGGAAAGGCTTGACCAAAGCACAAGGACTGGCAGAGAAGAAAAGACCATTTTCAAGACGGTCTAGGAACAGATAAAAATTCTACTCAAGTTATTATACAAGGACCAGAAACAGGCAATGAAGTTATGGCACCAAATCCTTCTGCAACTGAAATAAATTGTTCTGTTCAATTTAAAGCAACACAAAACCACCTGACAGAATTTCCCTTGTACTTTGCCTTTGACAGGAAAGTGTTTTTAGATACACAAAACTCAGGTATTTGTGGGCTCAGAAGACAGAAACATAAAAGAACAGACCTTTCTTCAGTGCCTTTGAAGAATCCTTTCAACAAATACCTCTGAGAAACATCCTCTCTCTCATTTGCTTTTCACTGCATGACAACCTGCTCTTGCAGAAAACGGTATAATTTTCAAAGATTGAACAAAACTGAATTTAAACCCGTCCCAGAGGTCAAGGAACAGGGACCTGAAGCAAAAGGGTACAATGCTATAGGAACACACACACAAAAAAGACAAAAAAATATACCACAAGAACAAACCCAAAACGACAACAAACCCCAGACCCTGAGCAGAGCGGCCTTGTCATCGGAACAGAGCACAAACTAACACTGCAGAAGCCACAGCCAGAATTGAGAACAAGAGGAATGTAGTTTGTGGAAAATATCCAGGAAAGCTAAACAGAAATAAATATTCCACTGTTAAAAGATATATTTGCTTTGTAAATGTTATAAGAGTCAGAGAAAGCAGTGGATGCTTCCATGGATTTAAATCTATGTTAAATACTAAGTATATAAACACATTTAGTGAACACACTGGCTCATCTGTCTGCTATTTCTAGAATGCTTTGTAAGGAGGAGAAAAAGCAGAGCAGCTTTGTAATGGGAGCTGCCACAAATGTATCAGAGTGCTTAGGCAGTCATGGAAAATTCCACACAAACCTTGATGCTCCGACCAACAAACCAAGTGCAGGTCGGCTGCAAAACGCCTGGAACAGCCACAGGCAAAAGATGTGGGTCAGGCTTAAAGAAAACACATCAATCCTCTTCCAATTTACAAATATTTATTTGCAATGCCCCTTTCAGTTTTGCAGAGAGTAGAACTCCAGTTAAAACAAGAGGCTGATCCTGCAGCAGCCCATCAGTCACACGAGCCTTGGAATAGGCAGCAGGCTCTACTGAGGAATTAAAACGTCAGTGAGACACCTCCGAGAGCAGCCAACAACCTTTAGGTTGACACGTTTTTACTCTGCTGTCCAAAGCAGTGACAATGTGTTTTGAGACCATGTTAATCATTGTGTTAAATCTACTTAAGGGAAAAGCAAATTAGCTCTTAAAATTATCACAGAATTTATTTTGTGAGGGTTAATTTTCAGATACAACAGAGAGATCGAAAGGTGCCAGAGCACTGTGCCATCTGCCTTCAGCATCCTGAAGTAACACAAGTGGGAGGAGGGTAGGAACACTAAAAGCCTGTTAAAGCACATTATTCTTTTTCACTGTACAGCAGGAAGGAACTCCACGCACAAATCTCTCACCTCTCGCTGCTTCCCAAGTTCAGGCCCAGCATGGCTGTGAATTAAATGAGCTGGGAACACATTCAGAATATCACCCTATGTAACCAGGCTTTAGGAAAAGCACTGTGCAGTTTTCAAAAGGCATTTGTTGGGGCCATGCTGGATACCCGAGCTCTGAGCCATGGAGGCATTAGGGCAATAGTACATTCCTTCTCCTGCTCTGTGAGGGCCTGGTAATTTAAAACAGTAGTTAATCTATGACTCCCTTGCATTCAAGGTAAGTCATGGAAAAGCTTTTCCCATGTTTTGCTTAAGCTCTGCTGCTTTACACAATAGTCAATCCTGACAACACAAAACAAAACGCAGCATTCAGAGTAAAACAAACCTCTGTATCCAACGGGCAATGTTCTGGAGTTGCTAAAAGCAGGTATGGCATTTGAGCCACCCACAGGCCCTTAAATTCTACCAGATCCCACTTAGAACAGTTACTGTTAATTACCCAGCTCAGGCAAGGAAATTAAAGTCCCTTCTGCTGTACCAGAAAGATTTTTTAAAAGGTCTTTCCACCATAACTGCCATCTGTCTGTGCTCGTGTTGCAAATTAAGGTCCTGCTATCTCTATTTAAATGTCAATTTGGGCATCCGTATTTTAATCCTCTTAGCATCAGTAGCAAATAATACCATTTTCCAAGCACCCTGCCCTCTGCTAGGACATCATGGTACTGTTCAGGAACTGCTTTGTAAACAGTAAAATAGATTTAGACTTTGACAGTACCTCCCAATATGGTGTAACCTATAATTTCTGCAGCAGTAAGACTTTGCCTTGTATTTTACGAGGTTCCTGAGGGTTGTATATTCTCCTTCAAAAGGCTGCTGGGTACAGGATCTGTACACAAAATAGGCACTTACCCATGCAAATGTCTTCCACAGAACAACCAAATGAACACCATGTAATCAATACGGTTATTCAAAATTACTATTGTTAAATCTAAGCACAGAATAAACAGCTTTGAGTTGAAATCTGATTGACTTGAAATTTTGTTAGGACAAATTCTGTTTGTTGAAAATCAATTTGACAATCAAGTGGTGTTTAACGAAGACAGGAAATTGTTTTTTTCCTATTTTCAACCGCAAAGATAAATCAAAGAGCATGAAAGTAGATCCAGCAGAGTTCTAAACTCTACAAAGAAGTAGATAATAGCACCAGCCACCTGCTAAGGACACACAAATACAGAAGACCATACCTGGGACAACAAGAATTATCTAACAAAGAATCCTCAGAAACCATTCTTTGGGCTTCCTTCAAGACTGGTATGAAAAATCAGTGTCTTTCTTTAGTCACCAAAAATTAAGGTCTGAAATGTTTTCAATGCCTCCTCTCCCCCAAAAGGAAGAGGACACAAGAACAACAAACTTCCATATGTTTGAGGAAAGAAAGGTTGGACCAGATGATCTTTCAAGGTCCTTTCCAACAAGGGCTGTTCTACAGTTTTATATGGAATAAATAAAAAAAAAAATAAAGACTGTGTGATGAGGCAAGTTCTATCCTGGAACATGAGAAGAAAAATTTGCTTTTTGTTGCATTCTGGCAAGCAGACACTACAAATGTCATTTATGTGGTTGGGTACAACTACCGAAGTCTTAAAACATCCTAATTTTTGGCTGCTTCTCTTTTTCCAAGATATAATTGGAGAAAGCCAAAGGGATTTAGAAAACAAGTAGGAGCCTACAAAATTACCAACGAACCCCCTCACTGGACATGCAAGAACAGATTATAAAATATGATAATGATTTGTAATGGGTCTGTTTAGGTACAAAATCCACTAAAGTTACAAGGGAAATATCACTGTACATTTGAGAAGTTCACAGCATTCAGCCAAAAGTTAAGAAATTCTACAACAAACACATTCCACATCATAATCCAGAGGATGCTGCAGATGCCATGTGGCCTCTACTTCAAGGAAATTGTTCTTCTTCAAACAATACAGACAACAAACCCTAAGCTTCAAGGATTTTAGAAGAGTGGGACATTATTTCTGTAGGACAAAAACAAGTGAGAACTTCAAACTCAAACAAAACCATAACAAAGCTCAACCCTCCCCCTAAGAAAAAAACACCACCCAACTTACTGTAACCTAAATGCAGTAACCCAGTAAAAATGACCAAAAAGCTGCCCTTTTTTAGCCAAGCATTTGGGACCTACTGTGAGGCTGGGCTGCTACAAACTTTATGTGCATGCAAGGAGACCTTCATAGCACTGAGACTCCCAGATTTCAAACTCAAATTCAAGCTGCTTGCACTGCAAAGCTCTTCTCTGTCCACTCAGCAAAACTTTAGTTGAAAAACTGTCATGGATATAAAACACAGAAGAAAGTCTGCTGGACTTTTACAGTTAACGGATAGAATGATTTCTCAAGACTTCACCTGTCAAATACTCTGAATAAAGAAATGAAGTTTAAAAGTACCTCACCTGTATAAAACCTGAATATCACATTATTAGACTAAACCAAACCTGTATAAGCTTGAACCCAACCCAGAACCAAACAGGCCTCTCCTGGAACATGCCAACACTGAATATATCACATTTGGCTGCCAGTTCAGAATAAGTCTTGAGATTAGAGATGCATTTCTCTAAATATTCATATTAAGCTGCTTTGAGTAGCATAAAAAATGCCTAAATAGTTCAGGAAAGTGCAAATACTACCTGGGTTCAAATGGGACTCTAAATAACGATTTTTGTTACAAGTTAATCCTTAAGACTGAACCAGACTTTTACCAATTTACTCTCCATAACAAATTCTTCCAAAGTTATTTCTGCATAGCACTTTCTTTTACAAACTAAGTCTCTAAAGTCTTAAAAAAAAGAGAGAAACAACAAGCACACTTTCTCTTGCAGACTCCAGCTACAGCTGGCTTACCTCCTGATAAATAACATGATACAAGGAGCTCTCAGCAAGTCACTTTGTTATTGCTACTAACTCTCCTACGGAAAATAGGCACCCTTAAAATATACTGTGCATTTAAACAGAAATGGTCTTAATATATCAAAGTATCACTAAAAAAATCCCCACGCAGAAGTTTTTCCACCCACCGCTCTACCAGATTTCCAGAATAAATTCAACCAAACTAAGGGCAAAAAACTCTTCAGTAGGTTTGAATTAGTAACACCTCAGAAATCAGTGTAAGGTATAAAGAAGGAAAAAGGTAAAAAAACCCAATCTGTGAATCAGAAAAATCCTAGAATTGAGCAACTGCTGTTACACTTGCGAGTAAATGAGGCAATGAAGTGGAGAGGAGGAATATGGAGTCCTCACAGAGCACAGCTCACAGTTATGTGTCAGAGGACCACAAAAGGAATTCAAGTTCATTTTAATTCAGTGTTTTCCAGTGGGAAAATGTTTTCTTTGGCACGTCGGAGGTCTTCAGAACTAGAAATTCTAAGAGCTGTCAGAGAACACCACGTGACACATTCAAAAAGCTTCTTCCTGAATGTTCTGAGGCTTTAAAAAAGGAACCTTTGATTCCACCAGAACTGGGCCTCGGTCAGAAGGCAAGACATTATTTATACTTACAACAGGTAGCAGCAAACAGCACATGTCACCAGCATTGTGTTGATAACACTGCAAAGAAGGAGAGAAACAGCTGATCAGGTGTCATGTTGTGACTGACCACAAGATACATTGGCAAAAATAATCCCAGCAAACAAGAACAAGTTTAACTTTGATCATATGAAAGATGACTCAACATGAGTGTTCTGACTTCTTCCAGCTGAGTAAACTACAAAGGCACAGCACAGACTCTGCAAAAGGACTGACACAGCTCTGGAAACAGAAGTTTACAGCTATATTTAACAAAAATCACTGTGAGGAGGAGCAAATCTGATGCAGTGTCCCTGCTCCATTTCACAGCCAAGGCTGCCAGCACAGTAAATCACTGAAACTGGATGTTACTGTACACAGTAAACACTTTCTTCATTTGCAGAATTCTATTTACAGAAAATTTCAGTGTCAAATTATAACTTTTAATTTTATAGAATAAATGAGGGTTTTACAAATTGAATACAAAATAAAATGTCAAAGCCACGTGAAATGATCTGTAGTGTAAGATTTCCCTTTCTTGCTGGAAGAGAACTGTGTCAGAAAGCACAGTGAAGCTGAAAAGAAGGAAGAACCAAGCTCTTGAAATTGAAAACAGTAAAACTGCAGCTACACACAGAGATGGTTTTGAAATGGGAAGAAAGGAAATGAGGTTTTCTAACAGTGATCTCTGCAGCTCATGGAACTCAGTGGCAAAGTGGAGTTTTTTTTTTATTTTTAAGTCATAAAATAGAATTTCCCTCTATGTCTTTCCTCCCCCAAATGAGTAACAAAATCTTATGGTAGGACAGTATCTTCCAACCCCTTTGTGACACAAGAACTTCAATATTTTTCATCTATCAATACACATCCACTTTGTCAACTTTCAAATGAATGCTACAAAGCCAACACAGCCTGGAACCTTTCCAAGGAGTCCCAGAGCCTTTGTTTGGGAGTTTTAACCTAGGCAATGGGAATTCTTAGGTCAGGTAAAGTTTGCACTAACTTCTTTTGTTAGGAGAACAGCAATCCTATTTAGAAACAACCCTTGCATAATTTTTTAAGAAGATGGGAAGTGGATAGACTACAAGGTATTGCTGTAGAATTAGAACACAGCAGTGCTCTATTCACACTTGTTAAACAATCACACTTTGGAATAAGGATACACCACCTGTTCGTCACCCACATATTTCACATACTTTCATGCCTGGAAGACATATTTACAAGGTATTTCTGAGGACAGACAAGTTTCCAGGCATAAAAGGCTTAAAAGTGAGGCAGTAAATATCAGAGCCTGAGGAATATTCCTCTGAGTTTAGATAAACAACTGAGAGAAAAGACAGTTGGTACCTGTGGAGTAGAGGGGGTGTCAGAGAGAGGAAGAGAGGTTAAGAAGTCATTATCTCCTAGAGAAAAGAGAAAGACAAAAACTTGTCTGCTTTTTAATCTGAGCAGCCACAACCACTGCAGGAAAACCCTCTGCTTAGGTGCCCCACTGTTGTCCTCCGCTACAAGGGCACCAGCACACATTTAACACAGAACCGAGATCTCCTATAGCAACTTTTCCAGTGGGAAACCGGAGGATGGTGGAGTAAGTTAGGAAAGGTCAAGTAAGGAAGGAAAGAGGAAGTTATTGCTCAAATACCACCTGACTAACAGCGAACCTCCTTGACACAGGGTGCTGTGTCTGCAGAGGTATCACAGAAGGGTTTGGGTTGGAAGGGATCCTTAAGATGATCTCACTCCAACCCCCTGCCACGGGCAGGGATACCTTCCACCAGACCAGGCTGCTCCGACCTGGCCTCGGACACTTCCAGGGATGGGGCAGCCACAGCTTCTCTGGGCGACCCGTGCCAGGGCCTCAGGGGAAAACCCAAACCCGTGCGGGGTTGCGGGGGCACCGCTCGGCCCCGGCCCCTCCGGTCACGGCCCCGGGCCCGCCCGCGCTGCGCCAACACTGCGGGGGAGCCCGCGGGGAAACCTCCGCCGGGGCCTCCCCCCACACCCGAGGGGCCGGACGGGCCCGCGCCCGCCGCGCCCCGGTCACTCACCCGCGGTTCGGGCCCTTGGGGACGAGCCAGGGCAGGACGCCGCCGACCACCCCCCAGAACACGCTCATGACGATGATGGGCACGGCGAGGCCGCCGTACGCCATGGCCGGGCTGTGAGGGACCGGGGAGCGGCCCCGCCCGCGCCGCCCGCACCAACCCGCGCCCGCCGCGTCACCGCGGGAGCGCGCGGGGCGGGAGCGCGCCGGGGCCGCGGCGGCACGGAGGGAGGGAGGGAGGGAGGGAGTGGTCCGTCTGTTCTGCGCTTCTTAACAAAGACGTCAGTCTCTTTAAAGAAGAGTTTCAGCAGGACCCCGAAGGCTCTGGCGCCTTTCCAGCTCCAGAAACAGCGAGGAGTTACCGGCTTCGACCCACTGCTCTACTCACCGAACCATATCATCTCCCTGTTTATTGCCCACTCGATGCAGTGACATCTCCATTTGATGTTCATATGGAAAAACAGGCTGGCGAGTAAGGGGGACAGAGTTCCAAGGGCTGGTTCTGAGCTCCTCAGGGAACTGGGGACATGGGACAGGGTCCCACAGGGCAGATCTGCACCAGGAAAGGTCCCGGTGGCAAAGGAACGCCATGGGCTTCCTCAAGCACTGACTCAAGGCAAAGATACCTCGTATTCAGCAGCACGAACTGGAGGGACAAACATGAGCCTGCATGAGACCCTCATTCACAGCCCACCAAACAAAGCTTTGCATTCAGGCTTATGAATGACTTCCCAAGTGCAAATGAAATTTTTCTCAATTCACAGCATCCCATTTTTCAGATCCTGGTGTTTTGCAGGCAGATGAATTTCTTTCCCTCTGTCTCAGCAGTGAGAGGGCCACTCACTCAGGCAGTAAGTTCTCTTTAAGTTCAGGGCTGTTTTCAACACACTGCAGCCACTCTCAATTTGTAGGTATAGAGTGCTAAAAAGAACTTCCTCTTACTGAAGAGTTCATCCAAAATAGCAACAGCACTGAGACTGCTTCATCCCTACCCTTCTCAAACCAGTCAGCTCTACCTCACAAGCACTGGTGATAAACCCCCTTGTTAAGCTCTACCAATTATGTAAGGCCTGAAGAAATTAGGCCAAGACTTTCTAAATGAGAAGACACACAATAGGTTGAGTTTTAGCAGTTTTTTAATGGTGTCAAACAGGAGCCACCTATTCTTGCATCTTTTCAATTGTTTCTTCTTTGTACTTGCCCTTCTCCTTCCCAACCTGGCGGGACTTCGCTTTACGCTCCAAGATCTTCTTGCGATCCTTGTCCAGCTTTAGCCTGGTGATCACCACCTGGAGAGAGGACAAGGAATTCAGTGTCCCTGCAGAGTTAAGGACAGCAACCCGGTGGACCCGTGGTACTGTAGCTGGGCCCTGGCACAAAAGTGTTATTCCCAGGGATTATCTCATTTGGTTTGAGTAAACCCGAGGTACAGAATTGACTCCATTCCACGATTTTGCCAGGCACACCCAGGAATCAGACTACACGGACAGTTCTTTCAATGCACAGTCAAAACACTGCACAAAGTGAAAAGCAGCCAAATTTCTACTGAACTACATAATAAAATAATGACTTTGAAGTACATATACTTTCCATTATTCAGCTCAAACAGGATGGATACCACATCCACCTGAAACACAGAAGAGCTGATCTCACCAAAAAGGCAACAGTCAAAGCACCACAGTGACTATAAAGACACTTTGAAGAACGCCTGGTATGGCACAGCTGTGATTATCAAATATAACTGACATATAAAGGGTAATTGTGCAGACCCTTCACTGCCACTGCCAATTGATGGGATTGCAAACAAAGCACCAGCAAACTGAGGCTCTGATTTCCATCCCAAAAGCAGCCTTCATGCTTTTCTTGGATCACAGAATCAAGAAATAAGTGTGTTAGTATAACTGAAAGCAGTACTTAAAAAATACACCTGACAATCAAATCCTAGAAATCCCATAAAAGCTGCAGCAGGACTTCACACTCCTCCTCAGTTCCTTGTGTATTTAGGTCTCTCTTATTTGTAATTCCCACCTCTCTACCCAGCAGAGGTACAAACTGTTCATACAGCCCACTGCAAGTCTGTAACAAAACATTCCTCTGCTCCATTTGCATTAATAACTTGTGCAAAGCTTTGTCAAGGTCTGGTTCCCAATTAATGAAAACCTTCCCAGAAATAAAGAACCAGCAGAAAACTCAATTTCTTTCACTGCTGTTCACCACACAAGTATGTGCACAGGCTCCACCACAATGTCACCTTGTCCATCAGATGTTGTTTTGGAATAATTCTGCTCTCCCTCTGCTGAACACACCAACCATTTACTGCACAAAACCTGTTACAACTCGATTTTTTCCACCAACACTTCCGTATGTGTGCCCACATGGCAAGGCTGAAGCAGACTAAATTTATCTGCTTCAAACCAGGTTTTGGTGAGTGGTTCTGTTTAGTTTGAAATGTTCCCTGTTATAACCAAAACACACTTTGCCTTGTTTTCACTGACTCAACACTTCAGGATAAAACCAGGTTCAGAATTTAGTTCACAATAGCCCACAAGAACAAATTCTGATTCTGAGCATCTATTTAAACATTTCTAACACCTCCTCAGCCAGTGCAAATGCCACACAGCAAAGATGAAGGATTGTTCTGAACGATCTGTTCTGTGGTTTAAAAACATCAAGCCCTTTAAAGTGTTTTAGCAGGACTCCAAAGTCTCTAATGGCTTTCTAACCCTGGAAACAAAGAGGAGTTACTGGTTTCAACTCACTTCTCTACTCACAACACTGTAACATTTATTTTTATTTGGGTTTATTACCCACCCAGTGCTGCAGCATCTCCATTATACATAGAATCACAGGATGGTCTGGGTTGGAAGGGACCTTAAGGATCATCTTGTTCCATCCTCCTGTCATGGCCAAGGACACCTTCCACTAGACCAGGTTGCTCCAAGCCCCATCCAACCTGGCCTTGAACACTTCCAGGGATGGGGCAGCCACAGCTGCTCTGGGCAACCTGTGCCAGGGCCTCACCACCCTCACAGGGAAGAACTTCTTCCTCATATCCAATCTAACCCTACTCTCTGTCAGTTTGAAGCCATATCCCCCTGTCCTGTCACTCCAGGACTATTGTAAATAGTCTCTCTCCATCTTCTTTGTGGGCTCCCTTCAGGTACTGGAAGACCACAATTAGGTCACCCTGAAGCTTCTCTTCTCCAGGCTGAACAATCCCAATTCTCTCAGCCTCTCCTCACAGCAGAGCTGCTCCATCCCTCAAATCATATTTGTACCTCCTCTGGAATTGGTCCAACAGCTCCATGTCCTTCCTGTGCTGGGTCCCCAGAGCTGGAGGCAGCTCTGCAGGAGGTCTCACCTGAGTGGGACAGAGGGGCAGAATCCCCCCCTCACCTGCTGCCCACGCTGTGGGATCAGCCCAAGACATGGGAGTGTTCTGGGCTGCTCTCCATCTGTGCATTCCCAGCCTGGATTAATCCTGGGGGTTGCCCTGACCCAAGTGCAGCACCAGCACTTGGTAACAAGTTCTACTCATACCAGTGCCCTTATGTGCCCCCCAGCTCAGCCCACAGATCCCAGGTCCCACCGTACCTTGCTGGGGTGGATCCCCACGTGGACGGTGGTGCCGTTGGCTTTCTCCCGCTGCACACGCTCGATGTAGATCACATACTTCTTCCTGTACACCTGGACCACCTTCCCAATCTGCTGCCCTTTGTAGTGTCCCCGGACAACCTGAACAACAGCACAGGGAACACACTGACCCACACTCCAAACACACCCCTTGAACAACCACCACACCTTATAAACCGCTACTGAGTTATCCAGCAGGACACCAGAGCTGCACAGACTGAAATCCCATCTCAGTTCTTTTCACACACATGCCACAAAGACATCACTGACACTACAATTCCTGCATCACTAAAATATAATGGATCTGAACTGCAGTAAACCCTAATGAAGCTCTGTAACTTTTCAGCCACAAGGCTTCAACTTGAACAGTTATTTTATTTTTTTACCTGTCATTGCATTTTATACAAAAAAAGCCACTTAACTTAGATTCATTTCCAAACCAATCTTTTAAATATCACAGGCAGCAAATAGTCCATAAAAAAAGAAACAATTGTTTGTGCTTTATTGTTGAAAGCTTTTAATCCAGCACGACAATCACTGCATAGAAGTGAAGTGTAGTAAAACTGCCACCACACTTGCGTTCGTTCCTTGTATTGTCTTTGTCACTGATGTGAATTTGAGAAACAAAATGTGCTTGACTAAAGCTCAAGTCATGACTAGATTATCTTGGATTATTTCTGCAATACCCAGGGCAAAGCTGCAGCACCGATGTGAACTTGTCTCGTCCTTCCCTTTTGCACAGGCTACATATGGAAACAGAACCCCAGAATAATTTAGGTTGGAAAACATCTCTGAGACCACAGACTCCAACCTGTGACCCATCGTCACTTTGTCAACCAGACCAGAGCACTGAGTGCCTTGTCCAGTCGTTCCTTGAACACCTCCAGGGATGGGGACTCCACCACCTCCCTGGGCAGCCCCTTCCAGTGCCTGACAACCCTTTCTGTGACGACTTTCTTCTGAAAACTAAAACCCAGACAGTTTCCCGTGCGACAGAGCAGCTCAGGGCAGTGAGGTACCTGGACCTCGTCGTCCTTGCGGATGGGCATGGAGCGCACGTTGTACTTCTGCCGCAGCTCCTTGGACAGGGGCGAGGACATGATTTTCCTGCGGATGTGGGAAGGGGCATTGAAGTGCCGCTTGCGGTTCTTGCTGCGGTCCGAGGTCACAAACGGGTTGAACTTCATTTTGCCTGCACAGAGAGGAACAGCAGCTTGGGAGATGCTCATACCTCACACACACTGTGTTTCACCATCCACCCACAGGGCCAGGGCACAAAAAAGCACTTTTAGCTATTTTTAATCCACTCAATGGTTAATGGACCCTCATAGCCTTGACTCCAAATGTTTAAGCCTCTTCTATGATTGATAACAACCCTGTTCCTACACACGTGCACATCGGACCCTTCTAATCCAAACCTCCCCATTCCCAGCACTCAGGACACCCTGCAGTCACACCACTCTCACTTATATACACTCGATGTATATTTTGAGCTCGCGGAGGGAACTCGCCCTGCTCCGGCATCCTCAATAGAGCTCCTCGGCAGAGCGCACAGGTAACACACCTGCAAATTCAGGACACTTCTGGCCTTTCCTAAATTTTAACAACTGCATTGCAAGACTGCCTATCATAGCACCACTCATCCTGCTGGCTAAGGATATATTAAATTAAAAGATAAATCAAATCAAAGGGTGCTTTTGCTCAGCTCCACAACTTCCCAGTGCACAAACTGGCACCTCCTATGCGAGCTGGACTGTATCAACTTAATAATCCATAACCAAGGCACAGACCGAAGGAGTCCGAGCCCCTCCTGGAGCCCGACCTCTCCCCGCAGCTCAAGATCTCCCCGGCAAACCCGCCCCACAGCTCTGGGCGTGCCCCCGGCGACCCGGACCCCTTCCCGCTCCCCTGCGCGGGCCCCGCAGGGCGCTGCGCACGGTCCTGGCCGGGGATGGCGCGGAATGGCCCCTGATTATGCCGGATTATCCCGGATGCTCTCCTCGATCCCTCACCCGCTGCCGCCGCCGCGCTGCCCGCCCGGAAAAGGAGCCACAGCCGCTTCCGCTTCCGGGAGCGGCACCGCGAGACCCCCCGCGAACCGGGCAGGGTCGAGCGCCCCCTGGCGGCCGGGAGGCCACACGGGCGGGGACAGACCGGGCACGGCCCCGGGACAGACCTGGGCATCATCCCCCATAGCGACCTGGTACCAACCTTGACTTCGTCCCCTGGAGCCCACCTGATCGTCATCCCTGGTAGCCAGCTGGGAATCATCTCCTGGTACCCACCTGGGCATCTTCCCCTGGAAACACCCCAGACATCGCCCCCAGTACCCATCTGGGCACTGTCCCCAACACCCACCTGGGCAGTGTCCTCCAGTACTCACTCGGGCATTATCCTACAGTATTAACCTGGGCATCATTCCCTGGTACCCACCTGAGCATCATCTCCCAGTGCTCACACAGGAATCACCTCCCATGCCCACCCAAGCATCATCTCTGGTACCCACCCGTGCATCCCCTCCTGTCCATCAGAGCTATTCAGCAGCAGTTATTTCTCTCCATGTCCAGCCCCTCCCTGGCCGTGGATGAAAACAGGACCATACTGCTGGTGCCTCCTCTCCAGCCCAGCCCAGCTCCCTCAGTGACACCAGCCCCTCGTCCCTCAGCCCAAAGGGACACCAGTTCCCTGGAGCTTCTGCCAAGTTCAAATTCCCCCGCTCAGCCCCTGGTCCTGTGCCTGTGTCACCTGTCACCTCATCCTTTCCTCCATAAACCACCTTACCTGCACATACCACTTGCCTTTCAGGCAGATGTCGCCCTAGTACATATTTTCAGGACACAGATTAATTTATTCTCAAAGAAAACTGGTAGAAATGAACCAATCAATTGGAGGAGATGCAGCACAGACACTTGGTTGGGTTTGGACTTATTAACAGAGGCTGGAAAAGTTCTGGACCGTTGAGTTGCAGCAGGCTGAGGTTTGGACAAACACCTTCCCCAGTGCCTTTACTCATCATTTACAGAATAAGGAACCTTCACCACAATCCCACCACTTCTGGAAGTCTGTGTTCCAATCCCTGGAAGCAGGCAGGATCTCTTCCTTCACAAAGATGTTGTACAGCTGACACCAACATGAGTCAGCAACACCAGAACATAAAGGGAATTGGTTCCTTAGGATGGTGCAGATATCTCGAGCCCAAATTCACTGTGTTGTAACCCTTTACTATTTAATCTTTAATAATTGCCTCAGACACTTATTTCTAAATACTTATGAAGCAAGGCTAAATGGACATTAAAGGAGGGGGGGAATAAAAATCTGGTTATTTCATATACCAAGGGGGCACAGTGACTAAAGCCAAACCCAGCAAGTCCCAAGCACAGTCCACTCACCTTTCATTAGAAAAGGGAGGTTAGGACACTTGGTACTGTACAAAACCAAGCACTGAATGTCCAGACATGACTCAGGGCCTATTACAAAAGAGCCTTGTGATAACTTTCACCACAGTGACCTGGCTTACAGTGATTTCACCGTGTGATAACACTCAGTTCACTGAAATCATAATTAAAAACTAAAGAAAAAAGCCCCTTTAGGTTGATTTTGCAATAGTAGTGCAACAAGAAGCCAATCAAATCATGTAAGAGTTTTATTTTAATCACAGAACTAAAAAGGCTAATATTTTATTAACATAAGGTTGCAAATTAAAAAACAAATGCCAGAACTCCTCAATAGTCTCCACTGTAGAAATGCAAAAGACTTGTGCTTTGAACATCACTGTAACACACTGCAGGGCTGAGTCCTCCTCCCCTGCCCCCTCCTCTTACCTTCCAAGGGGAAACACCTCACTGACATCCTCAATCTGCAACTTCAAAGGACTATTCTAAAGCACAGACTCATCACAGTCACTGTCAGCCCCGACACTCTGTGTGTCACACAAACAGAGAACAACTTTAAATGAGAAATATTCAGGAATCGATAACTGGCCACCAAAACCGCAGATTTCACGTTTTACAGCGCAGTAGTTGAAAACAAGTATTTGAGAAACCAGATCAAACGTTCACAAGTGCATCTCTTCCAAATTTTCGTACCCCGTTTATGTTTTATTTTCTTAAAAAATCGTCTCCAGCAGTCCAATACTGCCTAGAACACACCTAAGCACACTTTCCACAGATCTAAAAGTCTTAACTCCACCTTGCAAACGATCCAATGCCTCAAGTTCTCACCATGGGATGGAGTCTAGAGTTAGAGGGAATTTAAATGAAATTAATTTAAACTGGAAGTTCCAAATATATTACTTCCCACAGGGATGTCTTTCTTGGAAATCCAAATATTTCTATCAAAACAGTGATGTGAAAGAGCAAAGTCAGGAACAGGGATGAGCACCTATGATCAATGGTTCCCTTCGACTATGACCTGAAATTGGTCTTGTTTGCAATGATGTTTAAAAGCATAACTAAGCTCATTTTGTCTCTAGAAAGTTGAAAATAAAAGTGAAATCTACTGAGACATGAAGGCAGGGGCTGTAACTGCCTCACTTTCACATTTGGAGAGATGAAGAGCAGATTCTTCTGTAAACACATGATTCAGTACCATTGTGTGACCCACATCTGAAGGACAAGCTCATCACAACTTCCAACAGCCCCAGAAGGTGGCCTTGGCTTGGCAGCACTCAAAGGCTTAGACCTGGTTTAGAGAACCAAGGTACAGACTGCTTCTTCAGCCAAGTTCTGCCAGAACTTGAATACAATTTGGTTTTCACATCTAGCAAAAAAAAAAAAAAGTGATTTATGAGGTTATTGCAGGGGATATTTTGGCAGAGAAAGCAGGCACATGTATGTCATTAAAAAAAAAAAAAAGCCAAATAATTTCACTGGTTTGGTTTAGAGAACTGGCCTGGACTGCACAGAAGGCAGTTTAACACAGACAGGGAGTGAGGGGAAGGACAGAAATAACACACCAGGGGACACAAGGAATCTGCAACCACCTTCACTTGTTTGTGTCTAAGAAATTGTACCGGGGGAGAAACTTCAGAAAATGATTGGTACAATCCACTGCACTGCAAAGATCTCCCCTGGCCCAGCTCAGGAGAAGGATGCATGACTCAGATATTAAAAATCCCATCTTTGTAATCCACTGGGTTCACAAGCTGTGAGCAAAGACTCACCAAATCCAAAAGGAAAAAACAGGACATTTTTGCTGTAAGCTTCAACTGGTCACAGTGGATTAGAGGGAATCCTTCAGGCAACTGCCATGGAAAATCCCGGCCACCCGGTGGGTACCAGTCGCAGGCACACGGACACACACCCCAAATGAAGACAAGCATCTCATTTTCAAGTTGATTTTTGTAAATGGAAAAAAATGTATAAAATCTATCCATACATGAACAGATACAGGAAGTTACACAATCCAATTTACAACTAAAGTCATAGCAATCAGTCCAGAATAAGAACAGGGAAAAATTCCAATGCTGTCGTTTGTCCCAAGTCACTACAGGGCAGATGATTGGCTGCTTCTTTTTGGTGCATGGATAAAACTGGCTACACCTTCCCTACTTCCACAGCAATGAGACAATTTCAACAGACATGTATTAAAATTGTTTTGAAATGCATCTGACTCTAACAATAACACTGAATATTCAAGGATTCATATCATTACAGCATAATGTTTGCCTCCAGGAAAAGGGGGCAGTAGATATTATCAAAGAGAAACCCTGCAACCATCTTAGAATTTACAGCATTGAGTTAAGGATTTTTATTTTATGATTTTTATCCATCCTGGAACACTTAAAATTTGCGTGTCCTCAGCTCAGACATTTACAACGCATGCGGAGACCGTTACTACTCAAGGAACATGGATGGGGTCATGGAAAAAGCACTGGTGGGCATTTGGTCTAATTTTAGTGAACTCATGTCCACCATGACATGCAAGTCACATCTGGCAGCAGTTTTCCCCTCACACCTCCATTTATTGGAGACCCCAGAAGACAAGGCTTGAAGGAATGGACAGGGAAGCTCAGGTACCATTTTAAGCAATAGAACAAAACTCCAAGCAGGGGCCAGCCTGTGGGAATGCTGCCCTGCTACTGCTGTACCTGTGGGAGAACAGTGTCAGCCCAGGGCTCAGAAAAGATTCCTGACTGAGTTTTTAAGGAAAAGGGAGGCACCTTAAATCCTGGAAAGTCAGATTTCCTGTGTTTAACAGGTGTACTGAATATACACACATAATGCAAGAAGGAAGCTGTGCTCATCCACCCAGAAGGCTGCACCATTTTTCTGAGCACAGAGAATATACTACCTCTTTTCAACAAAACAACAGCAATAATAATAAAGCAGAAGTGGAGAATCCAGACTGTTGGGTGGTCTGTGTTTAAAAACATAAGAAAAAAATAAAAGCTTATGTTGTAAAGACAACAATTCCCTTTCAAAGCAAAGGCCACATAAAACTGTGTTGCTCAGTTTGGTTTTTACTTCATGCCACCTGTAAACACAAGACTGGATATTCAGTTTCTGGGAAGAAATGAAACCACTTTTAAATCCAGAGTAAAAGAAATGCCCTCCACTGCTGGGATCACAGGTTACCCACGAAAAGGCAGCTGGGAGAAGGCTTCCTCTTCTTGTTTGTCCACTTCATTGAAAGGTTGTATCTGAACAACTGAGCTTTCAATAAAAGCACAAAACATTTCCTGATGTTATTTATGCCCTCTGTCTCTAAAGTTTGCCATGGGGACTAACACTTTCCATTCCTCACCAACAGATACATCACCTTTTTGGCACCATGGGTGGAATTTCTTCCTAATGTATAATTTTGCCCTATACAAAAGTCGATTGTCTAATCATGCAAATCCAACAGAACTCCAAAAAGTGCCACAAGACAGTTCAACTCTTTGCAATCTACTACCTAGTTTGTACACTGCCACAGGAACCTCCCAGAGAACACCCTGCTGTCCTTATTTAGAGCTGACGGTGTATTTCATATATGGCATTTCAACCTCTCTTTCTGGGGGGAGGGAATCGAAATCCACACCCTGATTCCACTGATTTTTCCCTCTCAGAGCTCTGAAATGCATGAGATTTCTTTGATTTGTTGAAGACATCTTCACTGAACAGCCTGATTAGAGAAAAACATACTGATTCAATCAAATAGAAAATAAAGACAAAAACAGGTAGTGGTAGATTTCTCTATCTTTTCTCCTGTCCTTTGAGACGAGGGTAGAGTTTCACTGCTACTGCATTTTCCCCAGCTGGATCTTCTTCCAGGCCTCTGATGCTGTGAAAATGCAGGAGTCCAGGATCCCAGCTACAGTAAATGTTCCTCCAATGATGGCACATATCTGAAATTAGAGAGGAAACACGTTTGTCAGTGATGAGGGAAACTTTTACGCTGCTTAAACTGAAGGGAGGATTCTACTGCTGGGGTATTTTCTAGAAGCACAGCAAGAACTAGGTAACAGTACTGGGGATGGAATTACATGGAAAATCATTCAGAAAAACCATTCCCTACAGTGGAATAAATTAGTGCTATCCTGAACTCATCACAGCCTGAGCCATTCCTAAATCCCAGCTCCTACAGTTCGAATTCTGTTCCTTTCCGGGCTAAACTCCACCCAACTCAGCTTTCTAGAAGCTCTGTGTTGTTCATATCTTCCTATTACTGTTTTCTACTATAAATACCACAGCCTTATAGTCTTTCCCCCATTTTACAAGATTCAGCATTTGCAAACAGACAAAAGACACTTAAATAGCACATGAAGGGCAGTGACTAACAGAGAAACCCAGCTCCCAGGGACACCCACAGCTCAGCTAGTCTAACACTTTCCATGACAAAGGCTGGTCACAGAAGCCAATTTAACTCTTCGTGGGCCGAAGTTTTCCACACAAGTTGTCTTGGGTTGAATTATTTAAACACCAGTAAAAACAAAAAATCGTTTTTCGAGAACAGTTAGGGAAAAAATTAATCTCCTGATTAGCATAGCAGCCCACTTCACTTCTTAAGTGCTAGAAAAACACAGACATATTCTGACACATCAAATCAAAGGTACCATGTCTTCAAGCATCAAAAATCAGGGGGCAGCAGTGACAGACTTTGCAAAACATTGCTTCAATTCCCTTATCTATGAAATGGGGACAATGCCAAACTTGCCTCCCGGGGAAACTGAAGGATAACACATCTGAAGGGTTCAACAGTGGTCTCAGTCTCTGTGGAAAAAGAATCCCGGAATCATTTAGGTTGGAAAAGACCAACAATACAAAATACTTCCCTAACACCCTGCTACACTGGCTCACTGGTTTGGGATTCCTCTCTCTCTCTCGGCTTCTAGTTCATGGCAAAATCCCCATTTTTAACTAGGCAGGTCCCTGTCAGGAGATAAGTTCCATATCTTGCGCCCTTCCCGCAACCCCATGTTGTTATTCTCAGAACCACCTAATCCTACACGATGTACAAGACCAAATTAAAAGAGCACCACAGTTACGAAGTAAAAAACGTGGGAGTTAAGAAATGCCAAGTCCTGTGTAATTAGAACTTGGCTGTTAACATTATTAGGTTACGTTATTGTGTATCATACTTTCCATGTGAACATTGCCCAGTGCAGTGCCCGGGGTGGGGTGGCACCCTGGGAGTTTTTTCCCCGTCCTGTGGTATTTGACTGCTGCCTCCTCAGGAGCAGGTGGTTTGTACTAACTCTGTATTCAGCATGTCATATGCTTTTGTGTCAAAAATAAGGTGGCCAGAAGGACCAGGGCAGTGATTGTCCCTCTGTGCTGGGCACTGCCGAGGCACCTCAAGTGCTGGGTCCAGTTCTGGGCCCCTCATGACAAAAAAGACATTGAGGGGCTGGAGAGTGTCCAGAGAAGGACAATGGAGCTGGGGAAGGGTCTGGAGAGTCAGTCCTATGAGGAGCAGCTGAGGGAGCTGGGGAGACTCAGCCTGGAGAAAAGGAGGCTCAGGGGGACCTTCTCACTCTCTAGAACTCCCTGACAGGAGGGTGGAGCCAGGTGGGGGTCAGGCTCTACTCCCAGGGGACAAGGGACAGGACAAGGGGAAATGGCCACAAGCTGTGCCAGGGGAAGTTTGGGTTGGAGATCAGGAAGAATTTCTTCACTGAAAGTGCTGTCAGGCAATGGAAGGGGATGCCCAGGGAGGTGGTGGAGTCCCCATCCCTGGGGGTGTCCAAGGAACAACTGGTTGGTTGACAAGGTGGGGATCGGGCACAGGTTGGATTTGATGATCTTGGAGGTCTTTTCCAGCCTGATTCTGGGATTCTGTGATATATGTATACAAAAATGCAACACAACTGGCACAGGAGGCAACCAATGCCACACAACACGTTCCTTGCCACGTCTCTTCTCCCACACAGCACTGTCCCCCATGGGAAAAATAACAGACCAAAAAAGTAACGTAAGAGCAGCAGCAGCTCAGCAGGGATTCACAGCGGCAAAGGAACAAACAATTCATTAACAGTGAGGGAAGGCAGCAATAACTAAAGCTCATTTCTATGAGTATTTATAACTGAGATATGAGCATTTAGTGAGGTCAGTGAGACGAGGAGCTGCAGGATATATGGCTTTAGCAGGACACTTGGCATTCCAGCAGAACAAGGCTTCTAAAACCAGAGCACCAGCCTGAGGCAAAGTTAGTAATTTTAGGGGACAAGTCCAACTCCTACCCCAGTGCACCCCTCCTCGCCATCCCTCAGAGCATGACACAGGGTGACTTTTCAAGGAAAACGACCACCACGGAGTTGGGTTATTTCAGTCCAAAACAGCTCAGCTGACAGGAGATGTCACACCACAAACACAAAACCCGTCCAACACGAAGATTTTGCATCATATGGTAGGAAAATGTGATTTCAGTGCAGCAGTGTAAGGGGGTGAGGAATAGAAAAAAAATAAAATTCATCTGCACGGCTCAGCTGTAGCGCTGAGTGTGAGTCACACACACCTGGCATCACCTGGGGCCTGACCCCAATACAAACAGCCTCGAGTACTTGTGAATAAAGAAAGTCAGCACCAGCACTGGGCTCTAGGTCAGCACAGAAGCTGCACCACAGTGTTCCTTTACCATCACAGTTCTAACACATATGGAAGGCAGGCATCAGGCATTTATTTATAGTTAATGTGGTTTTATGCCAGGAATGATCTGCGTTTGGCTCCATGAGGTTACAGTTTGAGTCAGGCCCAACCATTAAAGGATGAAGGAAAAGAAACACAGAAGTGGAATAATTCCAGCTGTTAGAGCTCATGAAACATGGGGAATGCACAGGGGTTTGCAACAGAAGGTTATTACAGGAGAGCAGCCGGGATGCAGGCTGAGGCCTAAAGGAAAACATGAGTGGATATGTAGGAGGAGGCAAGGTTGCAAGCAAAGTGACAGAAAGGCAAGTGTCAGACACATGACTGTGCACCTCTGGGATGTCCTAAAGTATGAAAATTACTTTTAAGGACAGAGGGAACCAGTAGGACCCTTAGGTAATTCCTAGTATGGCAAGCTGCAGAATCCCACACAAAGATTTCTGGCTGACCTGCAGCACATTTTGCAGAATAACGCTGTCTTGTTTTTAAAAACACCACAGGGCCGAATCTGATACCTGCCAGTAACAGCTCCCATGGCTGAAATTATTCTGCCTGCAACCATTCTGTTCCAGCTCCTCCATCCCATTATTTTCAGTTTAATTTTCTCACACCTAGAGACCAGATGAGTCCTCTCATACCAGGAAAAAAAAATTCTTTGGATTTTGAATGCTTCAGCAGAACTTTGGCTGCTTTTCTGCCTGCTCTCCCCTCCCAGCCCCTGGACTGACCTCATGATAAAACCTTCTTTCAGTTTGGCCACTTACAGGAACTCATAAATTTTCAGCAGTGAAACTTTCCCCCTTGCTCCATAACCTCAGCCATGAGGTCCTGAATGGCTTCTCTTTATGGGGAGATGCCTTGATTTTAAGCAGCACAGTTTAACAGGCAAAACCAACTGTGTTTAACACTGCCACATTTCTGTGGTTAAACCCAGGATCCCTGGAAAACTCACAGAACAGTGACAGAGGCAGCACTGACCCACAAGTAACATAAAATCTTACTTAGTACTGAACTTTTGGGAGTACAACATGTAAAGTAAAATTTATGCTAAACCAAAGCCTTTTGTCCTGCACAGGAAGCACCTCTCACATCGTACAGAAAATTAGGGTAATTTTTCATACCACAAAAAAATCTAAGGAGCAGGCATGAGTTAGAGTGGGAACAGAGAAGACCTGGGAGTGCTGCTACAGTGCTATAATGCTGCTCTTAGCAGTGCTGAAGTTTTGGAGGGCAAACTCATTAGTATCAAAGATCATCATATCAAAGATAACCTTCTCAGCAGCAGGAGGAGATGCCTTTGGCTCTCTGCAGAACAGCCAACACCCCTGTCTCATCTGATCTCTCACATGGGGCTCATCTCTCAACACTGTGTCCTTCCCTCTGACACCGTTTCCTCCCTAAAGTCTCTTTCAAGCCCACAGGATCATCCCCCATCCCTGGGACAAATTTAAATGTACTGAAAGCCACGTTGCCCAAGTAAACAATCAAAGAGCCCCTATCCCAGAGCCTCCCTTGTGGTTTTTAAATTGAACAGCTGCTGCTCAGAACAAGCTGATGATTTCCATGGCCAGCCGGATTTGGGAATGACTCTGCATGCCCCAGCCCAGGCTCTGTCTGGCCCTCAGCCCAGTGCTGATCATCACTGACTGGTCTCCAGGGAAACTGTGATGCAAAAGGCCACACTGGGATACAGGAAGGGGCTAAAGCACAACGGAACAGATCATGTCATCAAAACAGGGCAAGGAAACCGAGGACAAAGGTGTTTTGATCCTCTGCTCCCCCTTCCAGCCTTTTCAATGCCACCCTGGACGCTGTACAGCCGTAAGTGTGGCACATCCACAGCCAGGGCTGCCCTCCTGTACAACATTCCTGGCCTACACGAGAGCAGGTCACCTGTACCAGGGCCAGATGGGCCAGAGAGAGCCAGGCTACAGCACCTGGAACAAGGATCTGCCTCTGCATCAGCCCTGCAGCAGCCACTGCAGCACCAGCGTCATCCACCGCCTCCATGGGAAGGGCGTTCAACTGGAAAGGCCCCAAGTGAGCTGCTTGGCACTATGGCCATTTATAAGATCAAAAAAAGTAGCCAAAAATCAACTGTAAAACTCTTCTTAAGCAGTCCAGCAGCCAGAAAGTGCCTGGCTAACCTTAAAGACAGGACAGGGTAAAATTCAGGCTTGGGCCAGTGATGCAAAATTCAAACTTAGACCAGTGAGGAATGTGGCATGTGGAGAGGACTGTTATTTTGGGGAGGAAGAGAGGAGTAACTGAAATTCATATTTTATCATAATTCCTTATTTGATGAAAACTAATCAACCTTAAAATCTTTTTGGAAATAGAAGTGAATCTGTTGTTCTATTTTTGGATTCTCAGTAGGAAATAAGGGTTTCGGTTTTTGAGGTTATGAGATACAAATCCAAAGAGATACAAATCCAAAAGGTCATTGTGGCAACCAGGGAGGAGACCCTCTCCTGTGGACCCCTTATGTAAACTCGGAAGCATGATATCAAATTCAACAAAGATGCTATTTATATGCACACAATGGAATATCAGCAGTGAATCAATGCTGCAATGGACATGACAAGAATCCCACCTATTAATCACTTCCAAACCCTATTTCCCATTAAAAACACCTCCCCACCCTCACCCCCAACAAGATGCATAGGAAAGCTCTGAGAGCATATTGTCAGGGAAGGATGTAGAAGCAGTAGGAGATGCCAAGTCATGAAATGCTGATATTTGTCCCTTTTTAGGATTATGTTTTGAAATCAGACATGCTAAGAAGAGAAAGTCTTAAACCATGACATTTAGATTCTGCTTCAAGTCCCTTTCTCTTGTTATTTGTGTATCCTAGAGATCACAAGCATGTCTGAAGTTAAGTGAAAGGAACTTGCTGTTTATCAGAAGTTGTAAAATCAAAATCTTAAAGTGCAACGCAGCTACACTGTTTATGCTACTTCTCATTAAAATAGTTAAACAGTTTAAAAATCAAAATTTGAGGTCTTCATTCCAGCCAATTTATCAACTCCTTCACACTCCACCATGCCTCACTGGCACAGCACACTGCAGCTTCAATTTTAAGCCAACTCCCTGAGGACTCATTTTTTAAAGGATCTTTAAATAGCTCTTTTCCTAACCAGCAGTTTGGACAGCACAGCTTTGTCATAGATGCTGAGATCAGTACTGCAGGATGCTATCTGGACAGATCAAAATGTAACTCGTCAGGAAAACACCTCTGGAATTTGATAATGCAGCTAGCTCTTCTCCACTTCTACCCAGAAGTAAATGCCTGGAACTGGAATTCCCATATTAAGCCAAGCAGCAGCACTGAATAAAACAACGGCCTTGCATTCAGTGTCTTGTAGGAGAGGAGAGATGTGGCTGGTGGTAAAATCTCTGTTGCCAGTTTTGTCTCTATTTACTGTAAAAGTCATCCAAATAACCAGCAGATAGCAAGGACAGACAGCTCTGTGTCATCAAATAGTTCTCTTTCCCTCACATGAACTTTTCACAGAGCAAACCTCTCTAGGTAAGAAGAGAATGACTTTGGCTGGCACAGGTTGCCCAGAGAAGCTGTGGCTGCCCCATCCCTGGAAGTGTTCAAGGCCAGGTTGGACAGAGCTTGGAGCAACCTGGTCTAGTGAAAGGTGTCTCTGCTCATGGCAGGGGGTGGAACAAGATGAGCTTTAAGATCCCTTTCAACCCCACTATTCTATGATTCCCTGCACGTTTGGTCTCATCATTAGCAAGCAGTTTATTGCAGCTTTACAGCACACCATGTTAGCTTTACTTCCAAGTTTCTGACATGCTGCAATAGAGCCCATTCTGCTTAGACAGAGCCTGGCACCTCTGGAACAGCATAATTTTCCTTCTTTTTGTGCCTGGCTATTCAATCAAGTTGTCAGAGCACTGGACTTACCAGTCACCTCACTTACACTTCAGTACAACCGCAGTGATGTGCTGCTTTATCTCAATCATGTCACAACGCTCTGAAGCAGAAACTCAATTCTTCTGGGCAAGAAAGGCTCAGAAGATAAATGAAAGGCAGGCAGGAGAAGGGAGAATTAGAGGTTTAGGGTAACTCACCGACGTGATAAACCTGTACAAAGGCTGTCGCCTCTCTGTGTATTTCACTGTGATGGGGCTCAAGTCATAACGAAACCAGATGGCTGGGATAATGCGGCCGGTGTGGCTGTAGGCTACATACTCCTAGAAAAGAAAGAGGGGGGAAAATGGCAGAAAATGTGAGTAATCTCATCCCAGAGAGTGCCTGCAATAAAACTGCTTCTGTGGATTTGGCTCTTACTCCACGGTTTTGCACCAATCACCAGACAGAAAGACGCAAACAGTGAATTCATGTATTACTGCCCATCCCCACTCCTTATCAAACAGGAAAACAAGCTCTTTATAGTCTGATAATGATATAGCTGGGAACAGAGTGATGGTGATTACTCTCACCTTCATTCAAAGTTACAGAACTAAACAGAAAGGCTGACATTGATTCTCTAGTTTAGAGATGCTCTATTTAAATACAAACAGCCTCTACGTGGTTGCAGGTGAAGTTTTTGCACTGTAAATATATTCTGTATATATATATCATATACTGGAATATTTATCAAACAAATGGAATTTAGTTTGCAAGAACCTGAAAATCCCTGCACTCCTCTGTAAGGCCCCCTTCCCACTGGGACCAACAATGGGAGTGCTTTGCCCACTCAGTATGAATCATGTGGAGCCATGTTTAAACCACGTTTAAAAATGAAGCTAAAATGAAACTGTATACAGAAAATATTGGCAAAGGTTCAAAAAATATTCCAGGCCGGTTCGGGAGAGACATCTTCAGATTGCCAGTGATAATCTCCTTTAATCCATTTCTTTCCTAACAGGTACAAGGCCATCAGCCACAGGCCAGCCCCCCAGCAAGACACATGCACAGTGCCCATACAGAACAGACATTAACATCATATTAGTATCAAAAGTCATATATTTTGAGATAATAATTTGGTTATGCTCTCAGTGGAAACAGATATCAGTTTTCAATGATCAGGGCATTCACAGCTTGAAGAAAAATCCAAGAAAAGCAGGCTGGGGACTCAGCAATCCAAGGAGAGCCATCAGCACCAGCGTGGCATACGATGCCTCTCTATCTTCCCTTCTCTAGCCCTGTGACATGCTGCCAACTCAGATCACCTCTTCTCTTTCAATTGTCCTCTACACAGAGGCAAGTACTTCAAAAAGATGAAGAGAAGACAAGCAATAGGACACTCATGAGCATGATACAAAAAATACAATTTTGCTCTCTGTGAGCTCTGAGGGAGCTAATGAAACAGTATTTATCTTCGTTAATTTCCCACTACTGAGTTTTTTTCCCATGGATGACAAGAGAAGAAGCCCCTAGTTATAATATTTTCAGGGCTCTTATTGGAGTTCTGCAGCACATCCTGGGACTGTGGTTATCTGGGGAAGTGAGGAAACAGAGGGTGTAGGAGGTAAGAGAGGAGACACAGCCCACACTTAAGACCCTCTTCATCTCTTCATACTTATCACTCTGTGGCAGACTATTGCAATGGCTTCCCATTTCTCTTTCCCACTGATCAGTCTGGGAGTAAAGGACTAAAGCAACAAAAGAAGAAAATGCAGATGCAGCACTGTTTCTCTGCACTTCAGTTTTGACAGAACTGACCTCATTTTTTCCTTCCTCTCCCCTTTTCCCCACAGCAATCCTGCCCTAATGAGTCAGTCTTGGCTGAACGCCCCCATTTGCAGCCAAGCTCACAGAAGTGTCAAAAGCTCCTCCTGTCTATTTTCCAGAGTACTTTCAGGACTTCTATCGCAAGAGTCTTATCAGAACAGCAGTTGTGACATTAAGCAGAACAAATACATTGTAATCTGAACACAGGGAGATGTCCAAATCCCTGGGACACACCATACAGGCAAGCCCAAAAGTCACTAGACGGGAACATAAATCTGAGAACTAGTCCAGGAGAGTGTGTGCTTGATTATCAGTTGGGGCAAACGAGCAGAAGTTAGATATTATTAACAGATTCTGGATTTTCATTTAGCATACAACTGGCAAATAATTTTAAACTGAAAGATGCTTTTCACCTTAAAGAATAAGTAGGGTCTTTTTTTTTCCCTTTAAAAACAAATTTCAATACATTGTATTATTAAAATGCTGGGCATGGCACTCAGTGCTCTGGTCTGGCTGACAAGGTGGGTCACAGGTTGGACTCAACAATCTTGAAGCTCTTTTCCAACCTATATGATTCTGTGATAATCCACCATAACAAAGCAGGCACTGTGAAAGAGTCAACCAGTATATATTTGTTGCTACAGGTTCAGTGGCTTAATGTCTGAAATCAACATTTCTAAAAAGCTAAAAACTTGGCTAATTTATGTGTCTGATACATCCATCAAAAATGAGACTGTTTTATAACTGAAACCAGGTGTAAGTGATGTTTTTTTATCTTCAGCTGGGTTACAGTTTCCATTCAGATGCATCTTGACACAAACAACAAGAGCTCCTGCAGCACGTGAAAACCTCCCATAAATCTAGATCAGTTAAACTGACAGATGAGAACGTCAGCAGGAAGAATACCTTTCTCAGGAATGAAAACAATATCATCATCCGCTTTGACAAGCCCTCTCAACCCCAATCCTGGTAAATGCCAGCACCAGGAGCACCACTCCGAAGAGCTTCAGTTCCTCCTTCTCCCAGCAGAGGCTACTGCTCCCCTACAAACACATGTACATGGCACAGCACAGAGCAGGGGGGGGAAGAATGGTGACTGAACATCCTCCAGGCATCCACTGGGCTGCAACGAGGAGCCTCCTCGAGAACTACCTGCCTCTTTACCTTGTTTGCTACTGTGTATTGGTAGGAGTATCGCTGCTTCCCGCTCATGTCTTCGTACACCGTCGGGACTATCTTCAGTATATAATCGTGAGATGCAAGGGCTGTGGTCAAGAAAGGAAAGGAAAGTACACATTAGCATTCAGAGAAAGGAATCACAGCCTACACAACATTTCAAAGCAAAGGAAGTCACAAAAAAGGTACCTCCCTCCTCCTTATCTCAAGTTCTGTGACAAAGCGACAATTTCACGTCCTACATTTATGTCCTTTGTACAGAACTTTGTCAGGTAGTTGGATGACACCAGAATTCACCCACCACTTCTGTAGGACCACAACCCATGGGGTTTGGGTTACCTGAACCTTCCTAACTGCTTGCAACTATAAATTGTAACACTTATCACCACCACAAAAGCCTGGTTAAATCAGGAACCAGCTCAGGTTAGAGCTGCAGCTCACTGAGCTCCTTTTGACAGAAGCAGCTGAGGCATTACAACCTGTGATTTCTTGTGCACCCATCTTTCTTTCTCTTCTTCCTTCTCCTTACCTTTTTTTTTTTCATTATTTAAATGGCTTGTGTCATTTTTTGTGTCTGCTAAAACAGTTCTCAAACAGAATTCTACCCAACTTCTCTGCAGGATCCTTTAGCCAAGTGTAACATGACATTTGGTTCCTGGAGTAAAAAAAACCCCAAACCACAATTGTATATCTTCAGGAACAGCCACAGAAGTTTTGTTCCAAGAAATGGACAGGACTGATGTCCTGCAGGAGCCTGAACACTTGAGAGAAAAATCTGTGCTGAATTGTAGCCTGCACTGGAAATTTCCCTTTGTGTGCTGGTCATAAAGCAGGGGAATGAAAATCCCTCTCCTTCCAGCCACAGTGTAGAACTTCAGGTAGGAGCTAACTTGTGACACGAGAATAAGGGTAAGTTCTGGTGGTGGGGGAACGATAGGAATAGAACATGGATAAAAAACTGCCTAGTTCTGAGTCAGTTTTAACAGAGCTGGAAGCAACATCCAGTTTGCAAAAGGGCTGCAAAGGACATTTTGGGCTAAGCCTTCTCTGTAGTACTGGAGAAAATGGAAATGTCAGCCAGCAACATCTGGATCATTTTGGCTAAAGAGGCAAATGAAAGACTTCTGGATACACCAGTGTTGTGTGAATAGCCCTGTTTTCCCTCCTGCAGAGAGTGGCTAAGACCTGTAATCACCAGGAATACATACGATTTGAGCTGAGCTTGTCTGCTCCCTCCAAGGCATTGAATGCTCCGTGAACGTTATGGACCTGGAAAGCAAAAAGGCACATGAAGAAACCTGACTTGATACTCCTGATCTTTGCTTCCCTATCCTGTAACTAGATCAGCCTGATTCAACCTCTGCGAAAACAAAGCCTCAACCCAGTAAAAGATGACCTGAAATATCTTTCAGTGACCATCATCACAGAGGTTGGCTCCAAGTAAAAAAGTTGATTTCACAACACCTTACAAAATGAAACTCCAAAACCACTCCAAAGCTAAAGGAATTGCAGTTGGAAGAGGCCAGTTGTGAAATTTCATTGTGAGATTATTTCCTAAGAGCAGAGTTAACTGTGACATTAATTTATCAGGCTGAAAGAGAACTAAATGGGAGTTACACAGGCTAAAACTCAGGAGTTCTGCTGCAAAGGTAGCTCATGTCAGAGCAGTTGGGTTTGTACAGCTTGCACTCATTAGGCCAGTTGTCACACTGTGCCCTTGGAGATGGGAAGGACACATGCCATCACTGCCATCCCTTCAACTTCTCCTGCAGCTGATCCCAGGCATGCAAGTATCTGTTTGCCCAGAATAACAGGATTTCCATCCCATGCCTTGCACAAACTGTAATCTGCAGTCTGATGTCCACCAACAGAATAATCAATCTGTGAACACTCCAGACAGGGAAATCCCCCAGCAAGAGCTGTAGGTTCAGACACTGTGTCACTCACACAATGTACATTAAGCTACACAGAAAGGACAAATAACTCCACAGCCTAGAAATTCCTGACCTTAAGTCAGACAACAGGGAAGAAGAGTTTGGAGTAAGTATTTGGTCATGGGTATGACAGGGTTTCACCTCACCAACAGGGCAGTGCAATCTCCTCCCCAGACCCTCTCAAACTGGCAGCACGTGGATGTATTTGTCTCATCCTAAAGGCCATTTCCCTATTCTGAACACTATGGAGTAGATGATGATTTGGAGGAAGCAGCAACTGAATCAGTTTTGCTCAGTAGAAAGGAAGTTCTAGAGAGACAAAATCATCACCAAGTTCAAGTGGAAAGTGCTGGTAACAGGAGCAGAGCAAGAGCAACAGCCAAACCTGCTGCAGTGCCTTTCACCTCATTTCAGATATTTTACACAGCAGCAACCATTTCCAAACTACATGTGCAGGCTGTACTTACTCTTTACTCATTGTAAAAGGTACATGAAGAAAGAGAAGCCCCTTCTTCAGTATTATGTTCTGTTCTTGATACGGGTAGGAAGTAAGTCTCTCACAGCATATCTGAGCCAGAGACTTTAAGGTCCACTTCAAAATTCCTCATGTAGATTTTTCCCTCATGCAGATGAGATTAAAATTCAAACCAATGAATTCTTGTATGACACGTAACCCAGTAAAGCCAGATGTGGAAAGTAAGAAATTATGCCTTTTAAATCATAATTTCTCTTGAGTACTAGATCATGGTCTTGAATAATCCTGGTTTTAACCTTGTGAGGGGTCTTGTGTTCCCTTGATAGGTCAAGGCTGGAAGTTATTTTAGCCTGTTCTTCGTCTCTGCCTGAGTTATATGTCCAGTTATATGTCTTTGCATGTGCTTGTAGAGGTTAAAGCATAGGGTGCCCAAGGTCCTGGCAAGCATCTTTTTGAGACCCACGTTACAGAAGAATTAAGTGTTGACATACAACATATGTGGACATATCACTCGGGTGGAGACCAACAGCAGGCTAAAATAACTTCCAACCTTGCAACTATTATGGGAAGACACCTCACAAGGTTAAAACCAGGATTATTCAACACCATGATCCAGCACTTCAGAGAAATCTATGATTAAAAATGCATAATCTCCTACTTCCCACATCTCTTTTTTTACTGGGTTACCTGACGTGCAAGAACTTCATCCTTGAAATTCATCTTTGAATTTCAGTCTCATCTCAATGAGGGAAAAAAAATCTACAAAAAGTCTGCCACTATTGTGCATGAAGTACTGATGAAGACTTGAAGCTTCATCAGTAGATGATGAGATTCAAATCTGTGTTTCAAACAGACTGGTTTTTCTGGAGAACACAGCCTGTACCTTAGTGGATCATTTTGGTAGGGTCAGTAACAACTTACAAAGAACTAACTCCCAGCACATGACACAAGTGAATGAGAAGCTTCTCACTCTGTTTAAGAAATATAAGCATGTATTACATCAAAGCAGGTGGAGACAACCCAAAATTTTCAAAGGTGCATCCAGACAGGTTTAAAGCTCTCCATACTTGCTGGCTCCAAGTGCATGCTGAGTCTTGGTAGCCCCTGTTTAGAGAATATATCCTCCTTTAATTTGTGCTGTTGAACTCCTGTTTGCCTACAGGATCAGCAGCACCTACGTGCTCCCTTCTTGTGTATGGAGACGATGAGTAGTTATTTTGAACTCTGAAAATACTAATCTGAACTTGTCCAAATCAGGAGCCAACTACCTGTTTGCTAGACAGGTTTCTCACCACCACAACTGAAGACACTTGCTCCTTTGCCCCCAACTGTCCAGGCTCCTCCTTCATGCTGATTCACACTTCAGCTCCCTTACTCCAAGACTCCATGATAAAACAATGGGAATGCTACCTCAGAGCACTGACTTCCCACGCAAAATGCAGAACTCCCTATTAGCACTTACCTAATATTTTTCATAATCTCAGTGTGCTTTACAGACATTAAGCCAAGCTTATTTATATGCTAATATTTCACCGTTCCCACACAAGATATTTCCTAAAAGAAGCCGGGAGCAGAATCAGAAGACTACAAAGCAACGCTTAGACTTGTTAGCATGAAAAAGGGTTTTGGAAGTGGGTGTACAAGAAGCAGACTAATGAGACGTCTGTGCTGAGGAAGGAAGATTACAGAGAGACTATGGGTAAGCAGTGTTTAGGGTGAGTTGCAAACTGGGTGTGCACATGCATAACTCCCACCTGTGATGCCAGCTCCTTGGAAGTAGGCTAGAGAAGTGCTGTAATCTGCCTTTATTGAGAAATCAGGTATTATTACATAACTTGCAACACCTGGTGAAATTCTATCCACTGGGCAAGTGCACACAATCAGCTTCTTCCCAGCAGGGAATTGGCAGTTCCAAGTCTAACTTGTGTTTCATAGAACAAATTTGACTAATAGGTGTCTGCTATACGAGTACAGTGAAGTGAATTAAAAAGAACTTGTCTGGTGCTTTGGTAAAGACAGTAGCAAGCACACATCTTCCCTGAGTACACTCACTGCTCCTCCACAAAGGCAGAAAGGTTTGTTTGCTGTGTTAATACTGAAAACGGGATTTTGCTGAGCCATGAATCCTCATTCCTACTCCCTGCAGGAAGACAGCCACGCAGTTTTCCAAAAGCACTTTCAGTTTCAGAAGAAAAGAGCAAAGTTACTCTATGACTGGACACTGCTCCTCCCTGAAGTGGTGGCAGGGAACCAGCTGTGAACCCTTCCAGATGTTGCATGGACACAAGTGATGGGCTTGCTGACCCAGGCAGTCCTTTCTTACGGCCTCCCCACACTGTACATGGCCCTTCCATAAAATCCAAAGTGTCTAATGTTAAACCCCTCTCATTGCATTCCCCTGCAGCCAGGGAATTTTCAGGGACGAGAACTCACCTGTAACTTGTCCCCAAAGGAGAGCTTGTGGATGACGTGAGTCATGTCGGGGTTCTGGGGCTGTGCAGTGGCGCTGTGCGTCGACACGTGAAAGTTCCCAGGGACCTGGAATTAGTCAGGACAGGGAAGACAGGATTTCACATTTTACCCCTCAAGGCATTGCTCGGCTCTGTGATATGACATGGAAGTGCCTGGATCCATCCAGGTTGTACCTAGTGAGCAGTGGACAACCTCTGGCACGTCAGAGAAAGGCTCTGGGATACCTCCCTGCACTTGATCAACACTCGGATCGGATACATCCCACAGCCCAAGAGTTTGGCACCCTCACGGTGCTAGTGCTGCTGATTAGGAACTGATGAGTGGATCACTCCCAACTTCAGGGATTCCCAACACTTAAGGCTATGTCTTTCATCCTATTAAAATAAAATTCCTGTCTCTGACAGACAACAAACAGTTGCTTAATGTTTTATTCCCACATCTTGCATTTGTTAATGCGCCCCAATGCTGCAGAACAGTCCAGAAAGCTGTGGATATATTCTTCTTTCAGTACTGGTCGTGAGCAACTTTACATTTGAGATTGTGCCTAAGAATGAGTTTTAGATAAAAAGAGGAAAAACCCACCAAACCCAAGGGGCCTTCCCATACAAGCTAATCTAGATCTTCTGTTTCTAGCCCTGGCAGGAGACAGCAAGAGTCTTAATTTTTTAATCTTAAGTTTTTAAATGGAGGTAAATACAAAGTTCTGCAAAATACACATTTCATTTAAGGACTCAGTTCCAAGACAGAAAGTGGTGTCATTCTGATGGGACCACTCCAGCATACACACAGTTTTCAGGTCACCAGCCCTGTTCCGTGAAGTCTTTCAGCAGATACAGCTCAATCTGTTATGGAGGGTGCAAGAATATTTTTCTATTGAGAAAAGGTTGTGAAATGAAGCAACACTGAGAAGCAATGTGGCATGGCCTAAGACAAGAGTGGGAGGATGGTTATACAACTGGTGCCCACGGTGCTCTCTGCAGAGAGCACCAGCAGGACCACAGGAGGCCACATGCCGGTTCCATGTGCTTTCAGGAAAGCTAATTTAATGACTTGAGGAACAGCAGTGCACTCCTGGGAACAATTTCAGGTGTGGACACCGGCTGTGTCATAACCAAGCTCAGTGAACAGGGCGGCAGACTCTGCGGTAAGAGGCACACAATCATCTCACTGTCACCTTGTCCTCCCTCCTCAGGTTCGAGAATAACACCCAAGTGCAACCCTCGGTCAAGTTTCAAAGCCTGGCCAGGTCCCGCTCCAGGTCCCAGCTCACACAGAAGCCTGTACAATTCCTGCCAAGGGAATGCAGACCTCCAGGTCACACACAAGAGGTTCAGGTTGCCAGAGCCAGAAGTCCTGGATCGGGTCCCCTCCTCTGACAGCTGTCCCAGCCACTATATGAGACACAAATTAAGCACTGAAGGAAGCTCCTCACTGCCATATACATCACCCCCCTTCTGAGCTGCTTTGGTGAGCAGGACACACGACATCTAGCAGACAAATGCCCCAGCTCCATCCTTCGGGAATTATCTGAACAAGAACTACTTTGCAAGAAGCTCTTTCCCAGTTTTGTGGACTATCAGCTGCCAGCAATCTTGGTGGCTTAGAGGTGAGGAACCAAACGTCCTCTTTTTAAGTCCCTAATCCTTTCCATGCCACAGAATCAGTAAGAGGTTCTGCCTGTTATTTTTAGATATGATTGAACATGACCCGGGAGGAAAAAAAGGAAGTAGGATTTTGTAGCCTGTGGTACATGGAGAGGAGTGAATAAAGGGTGTGCCCTTCTTAGGACATCAGTGGGTCCCAGCACTGCCTCCCCCACCCCAGCTAGTCATCTCCAGCATTACATAGCAAGATTATTCAATCCTGAACACACCCATCCCAGAGAGGAGCCTCCTCCAGGCCTGGATTTTCATTCTTTGAGACAGAAGCAGAGCATCCCGGCAAAGCATGCGCAGAGGCCTCGTGCTGTATTCCAAACATCCCAGCACGGAGCCGCTTCTGTTGCACTGGCACCCTCTAGTAGGGAACATTCCTGTCATTCTGCGGCTCTCGGAACAAAAGAGGGCTTGGATAGACATTGCCAAAGACCTCTCCACAGTGAGTCACATTCTGGAGGTGCAGAAGTTATGACAAGTAAACATAGAAGCCGCTTGGCGTTTGTAGGGAGTGCACACACAGCCTAAACATTAGGCTGCTGCCTAATGCAGCACTGGCTGCAACACAGAGCTGCTCTCTGCTGTTCAGCAATTCTATCTCAATTATCTGTTTTGGAGAGTAGAGAAAACCCCCGATCTAACACATTCCCTGTGAGTCTGGCCACGCAGCCTCCTCTCCCCACACCATCTGCAGCACCGAGACTTAACCTTCCCCCTGACCAGGGACATGAACATACACACTGCAGGAGAGGCGCTGACACACAGATTTTCAAGAGCATTTTAAAAATGGATCTTGCCAGCATTTCCCCTGTCCCCACACACTCACACACTGTCATTCCTACTCACCTTGTTGATGCTGAAATGGCCCTCAAACCTGCAGCCATCCCCATTATTGAGAGGGATCTTCATCGAGTTGTCGATATGACCCACTTCGTGCCTTCCCATTTCATCTTGGATGTCTAGTCCAACCACTGCATGGGTGGGAAGGAAGAAGACAAAAAAATCAAAAGACCGGGAAAGTTGCATAGGAAAAGCATACATTGCTTTTACTGGGAAAAAATCCATATCTCTTTTGTTGACATCTCAAATATTGTTATACCTGAAAGAACCTTGTCACCAAACTTTTCACACTGCCTATCTGACACAAATATACTTCCCATGTCCTGCCAGCTGACTGCTATCTACACAAACAGAAAAACTTTAGGTAGACAAGCAGGTGATTTGGGAAAAACCAACAACCAGCTGGTGCGTTCAGTTACGAATGAAACTTGGGAGATTTCTTGTTCCCAGACACAAAAAGGTTGCTATAAAAAAAAAGGAAATGAGATTTAGAAAGAAGCCAGTGAGGGAGAACAGCCACTAACACAGGCTGCAGAGTGAGCACAAGGTCCAAGAAAACAAGTGTCCTGGCCTGGAACAGAAAGCAATGGGATATTGGCAAAGGCTGCAGCTACTTGATCTCCATCCACCCTGTTACAGAAGAAGGGCCGCTGTACCAATTTGGGCTCATTTGAAGTATTACTTAAAACACAAAGAAAAACTGCTAAGTGAGAAGGAGTACTCACATTCACAATGCAGGTTTGGCAAACTGATGTTCAAATTCACTTCTATTTTACCTCCACTGTCTTTGTCTGGGTCATCCACATAGAGTTCATTAACTCTGGAGGGCAGAAAACACAGGTGGGTTTAGGCACACATTTCCACAGGGAAAGAACCAACAATTTGCATGAGGAGGGAAAAAAGGAGACTGGGAAGCCAGGGGTTGACTGTGATGTCTACAACCAAGTTACAGAGAGCACAGAGAGCTCTCCACAATGGCATGGGGGCAAATCACTTAACTTTACTAATTGCTTGGCAAGTGCAGGGGGCCTTAAACAAGTCCCTTGTCCCAGCAGAAAACAAAATTCCTGCGCCCTTCCCTAACCTGAACTTCCAGAAGTGATGAAAAACAAGAACTTAATGCTGAAGAGCTGGCAGGCTCATGAGCTGCCCTCCACTCCCCTGGGCTGTTACTCCTTTTAGGAAGGAGGGAAGTATGTGCTTTTCCATTTGTTTCATAAATAGTTTTAGAAGAAGGCTGCTCTCAACCATCCCCCAGGAAAGCTTATTTGTGTCACTTTGTTATTGCCACCCAGCTGACAGAGCAGTGGCAAGAGAAGGCAGCAGGGCATAACTTGGATCTTCCTCCTTAATATCACATTTCAATCTATGAATGGTAACCAAAAGCAACAACTAAAATTGAGGAGAAGAGGATTTGAGCCAGGAACAGATGGGAAGACACATCCTGGACAGCAGGATCTAACACACTATACAACAGTCTCCCAAAGAGTAATGCTGTTTCATAGCACCCACAGTGCTGGCACGTATTTCACAAGAGACAAACTGCAGATAGAGAGTAAAAGGAACACAAGAGTATAAATATTTATTTTTGGCACATACAATCCATCCCACACAAAAAATAAACCAAAAAGACCCAACGCTGAACTAGCTGAATGGTCCTAGAGAATCCACTCTGGGGAAACTCAACAAACTGAACTAAGATGCTGCTGAGATTGCCTAGCAGCTCTTTTCCCTCGAAGTCCAACACTGTTCAACAAATAAGAATATTTGGCAATTTATCTTCCAGTTAGACAGTTTATAAAGTTATTATGGGAACTTATGTTCAAGCAAGCTACATAAAATAAGCTACCTTCACTAGCAAGTGCTCTGTATTATTTTATTTCATGCCCAAAGTGCATGAAACCCTTTGACAAGCCCTTGCTGAAGAGTCTATATGCTAATAGTCAAACCAGACTAAGGCTAAGCTACAAGACAGATTCAAAGTGATTTTGCTCTGGTGATACCTCTCTGGACCACAATGAACTGTTTGCCCCGTGGATTCAGAAGAAACAAACCTTCACACTGAGAAACACACACGCTGACGGTTTTTTCAGAGGCAATTACTCACAGGTCAGTGGGGTTTACAGACACTCATTTAAAACCAGCACAGCATTTGTCTTCAGCTTCACAGCCCTACCTTTCTCTGTTTTTAATTGGCTTGACAAGTTGCTTGCAATCATTACTCAACCTATTTTTCAAGTGATTAATAAAAATGACACAAAGGGAGGGGAAAGATTGCTCATCAGTGACCTAGTTAGAAGCTTCTTGGCTGAGCCCTCTTCTCCTGGGTGGAATGCACTCTGTCTTCTACGTGTTCATTACTGACAGATTGGGTAGGATCAGGATTAAGTCATATGTCCAAATACGGCTGGGAGGAGCAGCTCCAGCCAGGACAGGCATTAATCCCCCAAAGCAATGCACCTCTCAGTGCTCCCCGAGTCCTCCCATCAATATCCCAGTTGCCAGCCAACCTATTTCATAATGCCTGGCTGCTTCCCAGCTCTCTGCAGTCCAAGATATGGGCCATGCCCAGGCAGTGCCACATGCAACTCGATGTTAGTGGCGAAAACAAGCATTCAAGGGCTGGCAGAGAAGAGCAGCAGGTTCAGCAGCTCAGCTGAACATCCCAGCTCTTTGGAGAAAAGCTCTAGCAAGGTCAGTGTTCGCATTTGCTGATTTCTAACTCTGAACCTGTCCGAAATCGCGTCTCCAGGCGCGCTCTGACGACGACGGTGTGTGAGCCTTTCAGTGATAAGCAAGAGGCGGTTGTTGGTAGAACAAATCAAAGGATAAACTGTGCACAGGGAGCCTATGGATGCCTTCACATAGGAAGGCCAGTGATGAGGTCACTTGGTTGCAGACTGGATCACTGAGGCAAAGAGAAGTAGGCCAGTCTGTCCACGTCACACAGCCCATTAGCTGCAGATAAAGGAAACTGGTTTCCTGTCCCGCAGTCCGGTCACTGGACCAATGGTTCCCAGTCTGTCCCTTTGGCAAGGCTCACAGCCACTTCCTCCTCCTCCTCTTTACCTAGTAGCCCCCTGCCCCTCTCCCACTCACGTTCCAAATTTCATAACCCCATCTATCACTCTTTAGACATCTGACAGCTCGTGACAGTTGGTCCTTCCTTCCCCTCCCTTCAACTTGCAGCGTTGCCTTTCACGGAGCACCTGGCTGGTTGGATCCTGCTTCTCCCTCCCAGCTCCAGCCACTGCCTCCTCATGGCAGCATCAGCCTTTGCTGAGGGCCCCAGCTGACAAATCTGGCAAGGTTTCCTATCAGGGGCTCCAGAATGAATCCTTTGTGTGTTACTGAGGTTCCCTCTCACTATGGGGAACCAAGGGCACAACGACAACACATCACAGGCTACAACACTTGCTAAGAAACATCAGAAGAAGCATTGCTTTCAACAAACTGGACATTTCACTCCCAAAATACATTCTGGAAACCTCACAGATAAAACAAACTTTCAGGGTCAAGGCTATTCCTTCCAGGACCTCCCTGTGAACCACTGCCACCCAAATCTGGATGAAGCTGGCAGAGGGTTGGCACTCACACCTTCCTTCCTATCCTCCTCCCCAGGGCCAAGAAGCCAAATTGCACACAGTCTTTCTCTTATTTAATCAGACTATCCTGGGATGTTGGGAAAAGCACTACTTACCACCTCTAGCCACTCTCCTATTCCCTGAAGGAATAATGTCTCTTGTGGAAGAAATGAAGCTGTCTCTAATTTATAGCTGACCCTCCCAGAACATAAAGTGTTTCAGGAGTAACAGTGGTTTAACAGTGAATGTGGGATGGTCACAATAGAAATAAAACCTGAGGTCAGGCAGAAAGACACTGTAAATGCAGCTGCTCCTATGGCTGTTTAGAGAGACAGTGTACAGGGTCATATTGTGACTCCAAAGATGGTGTGTACCTTCCCCGAATACCCCAAGTATGTAGGAGTTGGTATTTTTTACTGGCTGCTGCTAAGGAATATTTGAATAAAAGCAGTACAATAAAGCAGGGGTGAGGTGCAGAGCTCTGGAAGTACAATGAGGGCAGCAGGAGAGGTGAGAGGTGGACCTCTCCCCTGTGGAGCCTCCCACCACCGATCCAAGGAAAGGGAGGAAAGTTTTTCAGCGCAGCAGGAGCCGTGATCCACACAGAAGGAATCTGCTTCACTTCTGGAAAGAGCCACTTGGAAATACTTCACATTCCTGAGTGGGGCTTCTCAGTTGCTTATCCCATTTGCTTACAAACTTGCAGCATTACATGGAAAAAGTTGGAGGGACCCTTTGGCCAAGCGCGCAGATCATGCAAATGGCACGAAGGGAAGGGGACAACCGCAGCGAGAGGGCAGGGCATCGCTTTCAGATTTTATCCAAAGAAAGTCAGACCCATTCCCCACACTTTAGGTCTCAGATTTATGACACAACAGCTTTGTTTCCCCAGAAACAAAACTTCCCCAGTAACCTATTTCCACCCAGCAGCCCTGGACGCTAACATTAGACACTTCAGCACTTCAACAGCCGAAGAACCTGTGGCTCTTTGAATACAAGGGTGGGCACTGCATCAGCCTTTCTGAGCTTCACACACTGCTGGGGTGCTCTCTAAACAAATCCTCCTTGTCCTGTGTCCTCCTTGTCCTAAGTCTCTGCTTCAAGTTTTAGCCTTTTTTCTTACTCTTTCTCAGCAAACAAACAGGCAGCCTCCTCCCATGTCACGAGCCATAGAGAAAATACAACCACTTACTCCAGCAAGCTGTATTTTACCTTGTCCTCCAACTCCCAGGAGGCACTCTCTGGTCTCCAGGACCCCAAGCTTAAGAGGGAAAATAATTATTCTCTCTTGAGAGAGCCCAAAGCTTCTCAAAAGACTTTTTCAGACGAGCTCTCTTGGCTCCACTTGCCATTTCAGCTCTAATCAACCACCTTCCAGAAATACAACCATCCAAAGCTGATATTCCTGCACTACCATCTTTTCAGCTGTACCAGACCAGAGAATATCCAACACAGGACAAATAACCCATCTTCTCCTGAGTTTGTATGAAGAAACAACAATCAGGTCAGCAAGTTCTCTACTGTGTAATAAGCTGTGCATGTGTCTATTGCTCTGCCATTTGTGATCTTCCTCCTGCCTCCTGAATCTCAATCAGTTCTTCATTGTGAAGGTCTTTGTCCCAGATTAGGTCTCGGCTCAGCTGTGAGGCACAGAAAACATGCTGTCCTACAAAGGAAGGAATTACAGTTCTCCAGGAGGCAGGAAGAAGGAGAAGGGTTCGAAAGACGCCAATGTAGATTTGAGTCAGAAATTGCCAATGACATCATGACACGACCTTCCGCTTCCTGTAACCCACACACGTCCACGGGGACAAACGGCACAACAACCCCTCACAAATGTATAACACCTTTTATTAGGTAATCTCCAGGTTACTACGCAAACATTAATTAAGCTTCTTACCTGCCTACCTCTCAGGGCTGCTAAGTATTACATCCTTCTACAGAAAACTGCCTGTGCCAAAGTCAGTCCGTGGCAAGAGCAGGATTACAACTCCCATCCCCTTTTGTCCACGAGGCTCTACTGCCCATGCTGGTCTAGTCTGCTCCAGCATTTCATCTGCCTCAACTGGATGAGCTGGTAGAATTGGAGTTGCATCTCCAGCTTAATGTCAGAACACATGAATTGTGGCATTTCTTGGCTTATGCTCCAAGATTACGGTCTACAGCACAAGAAACCCTTGTTGCACCAGGATGACACTGCTGCACGTGCGAGTTGCTAAAATGTTCATGGGCCAAG